CATCGGAAATCATTAAAATTGCATCTAATACTGAAATTTTAATATCTTTTCCCTGTTCCTCTTGGTTAATAATTTTAAGTACTAGTTTTTTCCGAAATTTCACTTTTAATGCTTTAATAATACCTTGATCCATAGGTTGTAACACAGACGTCGTGTTTGGAGGGAGAAAAACCAACTTTATAAATTCAGTTTGAACAGGAGGATGAGCTGGACAATTATCTACAGTCAATAGGATATGTCGTTTTTCCTTTGCTAGTTGTTTATCCCATTCTTTTAACCAGTCGGAAAATATGTCACCGGTCATCCATGCTTTTTTATTGCTTTTGTAGTCGACTGGCAAGTTTTTGACATTTTTAAAACATCTCGGAGTCTTAGATTTTCCAATTACTAACAATTTTTGTTTGTAAGAACCAGTCATATTAGAGGCTACAAGAATTGTGAGTCGCTCTTTAGATAATTTACCACCACTGCATGTTTCCCCTTTAAAACGTAATGTTTGAGATGGTGTTAGACGATAAAACAATCCAGTTTCATCAGCGTTATAAATGTCACAATCTGCATAATTTTTACGCAAATTAGGCCAAACGTGTTCCAGCCAATTTTCCGAAACACCAACAGGAACGCTTGACGATTCTCCACTTATTTTTCCAAAAACGATATTGTGTCTTTGACGAAAACGGGTAATCCAAGAAGAAGAACATTGAAAATCGATTTTATTAAAACGCTTCCCGAATTCGGTCGCTTTTTCTTGAAGTATCGGACCACTTATTGGAATATTTTTAGATCGTTGTATTTTGAACCATTCCAAGAGAGCCAGTTCGACGTCTTGATGTTGGCTACATTTTAACCTTTTGTTAGATGTCACGTCTTTTTGAAAAACGCTTTTTATTTGGTCTTTTGATTTCCATATGGTAGATAGTGTTGATTGACTAATTTCTAGCTCTTGGCAAAGATCTTTATTAGAAACACCACATTCTAAACGTTCAATTATTTTCACTTTTTCAGCAATAGTGAAACAGCGTCTTCTTTTATTTGACATTTTTAACTACGGAATTCAGAACGTGTCTAAACGGATAGCAATCAAAACGGCGACTAAACGAGTAAGAAACGTATGCTGTATACAGTACGGTCGCACAAGACACATTATCTGTTACAGATAAGATTAAGTCATATCGATTTGGTCGAAATCAAATTTACTACTACAATACTGTATTAATAATCGCTATAGGTGATTATAAAAACAAATTTTCGTTTTAAAATAACATCGCTATATCCGGATTATCGTTATAACCGATATCGTTATATACGAATAAAAGTAGTACACATAACATATAAAACCAACCAAATACATTGCTTTTGATCGTTTTACCCGGAATATCGTTATATACGGCATCGTTATAAGCGAATTTGACTGTATATACAAACGCGGTGCCTGTTGGACGGGAGTGCTGTGCATCAAATCTGCGTTTATTATTTTCCAGTATAATTTCGTAATAAATTACAGTTTACAAAATCCGAAATGCTGTCCTTTCGAGTAAAAATAATAATCACTTAAAATAGATAAGTAGGTACCGACCAGCTATCATTAAAACGGTTGTCGTCGTTTTGTAGGCGCCATGACATATAAATGTTATATGTATTTATTAACACCGTTCAAGGTCAAATTAGTAGAGTTTAACAATTTCTCATCATTCGAGCTTCACTAAATTACGTAAATAATTGCAGAACACAAATATTCGTATAAACATTATCAGATACAATACGATACAATATTACGATAAAATTAATTATTATTAATATATAATACACTCAATACAATGCGTTATTATTTGTTATTAGCAATAGATTTAATATAATATACTAACCACATTTAAGGACAATTATGTCGAAATTCCAAATTGTTATCTATGTTGCTAGACTTATAAATTTAAAATTTTATAGGATTATTTCACATGGTATAATTACTCAAGTTTAAATCCTGGTGGAAGGTAAAAGAGACTCTGTAATTAAAGATAGGAACTTTTCACATAATTTTATTAGATAAATCTCGACAGTCAGTCAACAATTCCATACATAAGCTTGTATATACATTTTACGTCAGCTACTGTACGCCTGTTTGTTGTCAAATCAATTCCATATTATACAATATCAGCTTCACTAAGAGAAAAAATTTGCTTACCTATTTTATGAACGATCATACGGAATAATATTTTCTAGATTTTCTAAAATTTGCCAATTATCCTTACATGACCCAAAACTCTAATAATTAAGTAATAATAAGTACTCTAGTAACTCCTAATATTAATAAGCTGAAGTTTGATGAATTTTAGGTCAAAATTTAAACTTTAAACTCTAATAACAAAAATTGTTATTAACTTTTTAAAATTTCAAAAAAGTTTACTACCATAAATCGGAAGACTCGAGAATTTAAAATTTCTATAATATATTAATATAATATAGCTAAAAAAAGTCAACATAATTTTAAAATTATTTTATGTCTAGAAAATGCCAGTATAAATTTAAATATTTGGTGAAAATGTGAAGTCCCTACGCTTATTCCTTTCTGCATTACATAAAAAAAAAAAATAAATTTCGTCTTATTTTGGTGTTAAGAAATATTCCAGTTTTTCATTAATTTTTTTTCACCTCGATGATTTAGAATATAACAGGAAATGCATTACTTCTCACCCCTCAAAGTACAAACTTCTAACTAGATCCAATTTTCCACCAGAATCCAACCTCAATATTAAATATTGAAGTATTTTTCTTCTATAAAAAGTGTCTTGAGACACACCATAAAATTAATAAATACCTACTCATCGTTATTAAACCTAAAACAGCTCTTCTCAAAATCTAAAAAGTCGTAATATTATTCATAAAATGTAATGAGCCATTATCTTAGAATAGTAAAAAAAATAATGGTATTTGCTTTCATCAAATATTTTTATTTTAATTTAATATGAAAGATTAAATATGGAGTCGTTTACTTCTGTAATTATACCTATTTTACAAAATTAATTTTTAATTTATCCATTTAATCGTTAATAAAAGATCACTAAACAAACAAATAGAATACATCGAATTTCCAAAATTATGACTAGTGGTAGTACGTATTTATTAATTTTATAGTTTAATATAACGCAATAGTTTTTTCGGTTAAAAATTAGTTATATTAATTGTTTACTTTAATTTCCACATGGAATTTATGGAAGCAATTTATGTGGAAGCACCGAGAACATTAATAATTGTTCCCAAATGTTGTAGTATGTTATTTCATCGTTCAATATTATTATTTGAATATAATATTATTATACATTGAATTTTTTTAGTTTATTTATATAAAATAAGACACCCGTTTATTTAGTTTAAATTTTCAAATACGTGTTTCAAATAGTAAGTATGTTCTTACTTCTTACAATAATATATATTTTCGTTTTATTAAATTTTTCTGTCTTTAATTTTAGAAAGAGTGCTTAACGAGTTGCGCGTAGGAAGTAGTTTATAGATAGGAAATAGAGTATAGATAGGACTTTAATAGGATATTTTTCAATTTATCTTAGTAATTTTTCTAAGTGTATGAACAAATATTGAACAATGTTGAAGAAATGTTAGCAAAAATGATTTTAAATATGCTCTTCTAAGAATCCTTTTTTCGAATACAATGATATCCCATTACTTTTAAATTCAATATAACTTCACGATATTGAATTAGAGTAAACGAAGCAAGACGAGAACTCCCGGTGTCTTTGTATCTTATTCGGCTTTTTAATTTTATATGTTACCAAGAATAAGTTTTGGGTGAAATAAATATATAAAAAGTTTCGAGTATTTATTGATTTGAACTTGAGCCGACATAATATCCAATAAACAAAACAATTTATCATTCCAATTAAGTTGGAATTTTATATTTATTTTTATTTTCTAGAAAACTGACAAATGTTGTAAATATCAAAAGACCGTAAAAAAAATTGCGTTTAAATTCAAAAACTATTTTTATTTCAATATAAATAATGTTTAGTCTTAAACTCTTAACGTCTTAACATAAAATATTTCTGTGTTAAAAATAAAAATTCTTAATTTATCTTGTTTCCTGTATTTTTAAAAATCTTGAAATATAGTTCTAATACCTACTATACCTATTATAACATTGGTAATTCAAACTATTATATTTTGAAAAGTTGGGGAATTCTTCTCTCACAATTTTTTTATTAATCATTATTTAAAAAAAAAAATAATGATGATAATTTATTAATTAATGTTCTGAACAATTCAATTCAGTTTTTAGTTTTTTCATACATAATATTCTTGTATAATATTGTTACCATATTATTGTTGTTAAAAACTTTTACAAAATATTTTTTTTATAACAATTAAAATAGGTATGTAAAAGTTAAATTACAGTGATTTGTTTACAATAACTTTTAAAGCATTAATAAGTAAGCACGGAAATATTTAAATATATTTCAATCTTTGTCTAAACGAACATCGATTGCATAAATTAGGTATAATATGCGTATTGCAAATATCTAATACATATCAATGTATTTTATCGGATTTGTAAAAATAAATTGTATTCAATTGAACTCGTTCATAATTGTTTTATATAATTTGACGTTGGGTTGAATTACGTTGTATAATGAAAATACCTATCAATTTAAATCGGAGTAAGTAGTTCTAGGCAGTAGTCGGTAGCATATTCATCAAACATATTAATAAATTGAACATTTTAATTAATTTGGTCGCTTCTTAACATATATTTGTATCGATCTTATACACAATGTACTTACATAAGTTACATACATATGGTATGTAGAATATGGTTGAATAATTTATGGCGTAGGTGACTATAAAATATTTTCTTTTTAAAATGTGATTTTAGTTCTCGAAGTCTTTCTAGATAAATTAACTAAGCCAATCCATATTTTCAATTTACGTGAAAAACAAGTCTTTTGTACCTACCCATTAATCATTTTAGTTTATATTATAATTGCTTTTTGCAGATATCGGACGACGATCGTATGTCATTGACAACTGCTATCAGTGACGAAGACGACGCAGAGAGCACTCAAAATTCACCATACCGGGGTAAACAAACAGGGACTGCAGCAGCCTCGTTTAATTGCACAGGAGCTGTCAGAAAAGCAGGGTAAGTAAATATTATATTTAAAAAAAAGTCGTTTCTTTAGATATTTTTTACATTTAAAAACACGCCTTAACAAACATGAACTAGATGATGCTAATCTAGACCAAACTAGTCTAGTTGCATCACACTGTGTACATATTATTGTATGATGATGATGACATGCCTAAATAAACTATACACACAGATCCTACGATCTCCCATATAGTTATTATGCAATATATTAGGTTTATCATAGTATATTACACATAATATTAATATTGGTTTATAGTCAAAAAACACGGATATATAGGCTATATGGAGGTACTGTAGGTATGTTTTACAAGAAGTAAATATTTAACAAAATATATTTATTTATAAAAATAAAATAAATAATACTTAATAGGCTATGTTTTTTATCACGTTTTAAATTTAAACCTCCAAAAAGTTTTAGTTTTTAATCAAATTTGTATTTAATTTTTTATCAAATTTATTAAGTTTTGAGTTACACATATTATCTGGTAGAAATAGTGGGCAAATGAAATTTCATGTTTCTTCATGAATTTATTTAGTTAGTACTTAATAGTTTCAAAGAGAAGTGGTTTTATATTTTTCTCATTATTTCATTCAAGTTAGAGGAAAAACTAATGAAAAATGGAGTAGGTACACAGTGCATTTCACCAAGTACGCGCTCATCACATGGTTTTCTTTTAATAATAGATTTATTTAAATTCTGATTAATATGCTTGAAGACTATATTTTAAATTATTTAGATTTTTAATGCAATTTAAGGAGTGCGCCGTGTCAATTCAAACTACTTTTTTCAAATGAGAACCAATCTTTTCTGTACATTTCTAAGCAAATGTAATCAAAATTTATGTTTCTGATTAATTAAAATATATATACTAAAAATAATAGTCCATAAAAACGTAAAGAAGGAATAAGGTGTTACATTAGTTCTAGTATTTATTTTAATCAGACAATATTTACAAACTTTAAAGTGAAAATAAATGAATATCAATTATTTTATTTTCAAATCTACCTCTATTCAAATTTCAAACTCACTATCGTGACCAAAGAAACTAAACAACTGCTGCTTCATATTTTTTGATTTAGAATACGTTCATTAAAATGTTTGATAAAGTCTTCTGATGAATAGTTTAAAGGAGAAAAGGTTGGATCTCATTTGAAAAAAAGTTGGTATCACTGTAGTACATTCCTAAATGGTATACAAATCTAAGTATTAGTATTGAAAATATAGTTCTTAAGTATACTAAAAAAGTTAAAAATTCCAAAATTAGAATTTGAACATATTTATTACCTATATTAATAGAAAAATGGGATTAGCAACCTTGGTGAATCAAACCGTATAATACATAATATTTTTCAATGTTTAATATTAAATTCAAGTGTACATTATACATTTTATAATGAAGAATCATTATCATTATTTTGATTCTTCATGATCTCACTAATAATATTTTCTTTTTGATGAAAAATAAACTGTAAGTATACTTTTATGTCATGGGATAATAGGTACAATAAACTATTTAAGTACTATTTTCATGATGGTTGCTTGATTTTTATTTTTCTGGGTTATTAATACATATTTCCGTCAGTTCACATACAATTAAAATTTGAATTATTCGAAAGTCAACATGGGTTACGAAAGACCAATCATAAATTATAGTACTGACTAGTACTTCATGCATATTTATTAAATTATATTGATTAGTAATAACAAATAATCATTTAAAAATTTTTAATAAGCCTATATATTGATGAATTTTCGGTAAAACTTGTGAATTGTTATTATAAGATAAATTACCTATGTCTGAGAACTAAAAGTATGATTTATGTACGTCAGTATATTTATTTTGTATCATCCAAATACAGTTGTGGTTGGTTGTAAATGTTTGAGATTTCACGTTAATTAAATAAATAGTGTAAAGTTTGTCTGTGGATATATGAGCACATTCTGGATGAAATACCATACGTATAAGTTTTTCTGTCACATTTGAAATTTTAAGTAAAATATTAATGTACCTATACACAGCTGAAAACCCTAAATACATTTTAATAATACGTTACGCATTAAACAGTGGTTTTGAGGATGAGGGATTAAAATATATCGACCGAGTACCGGGAGAATGCGAACGTGCCCATTGCTCATTAAATCATGTGATGCAGAACGAAGTTTCAGTAAATATTAAAATCAATAACTAACGAACTCGAATACTTGATTGAATGAAGAAATGATCATTTAATTTTAACGTTACATATACGGCCATAAAAACTAAATTATTATAATCATGTTGAACATTACATTTTGTATACATTTGTATGTTATTGGTTAATAAAGACCTTAATTGAATTTTTATTCAACGTATCAGCTAAACTTTTCGTGGTGTACCTATTAGGTATATATTGTCATATTGGTAATATTTATTCATTACAGTTAAATACATAGAAAAACACAATTATTTTGTCCTTTCAAATAGAGTTATATGTAATATAAATTACAGTATACAATTACAATATACATGTATAATTATATGTAATATCATAATATATATATATACTGTATATTATAATTATGTATAACTATATTTGAAAGGACAGTAAAAATTGTGCTTTTTATGTATTTAACATTTATAATTAATTACAAAAGCACGTTATTTAAAAAAACAATTTTGAATTAATGATGTACATTTCATAATGTAAAATAGATAAATTAACATATTTAAATATTTGTTCATTTAAATTTTAAATTTTGTATTCTCTATTATAACGAACTATGAAAAATTATTTTGAATAATTTTTTTTGAAACATGCATGTAGATATCTCATATAAAATATTAGAATTTTCACAAATTTATATTTTATTTATGTCATTATTTAAAAATATATATTTAAATTAATAAATTATGATAGTTGGTACTTTTATACTAGGCAATAAAGTTTTCGTGAATAATTTTAAAAACGTTGAAAATATACAACTGCGCGCATTTAATATTAAATATTATTCCCTTCAGTAATTCAGATGATATGACTTAAAATTAACTTCAAAACTACGACGTGTAAAATATTCACGAGTATCTGTGTTTTATATCATACAACTTTCCACAATATGTCAATAAAATAAAATGTGCAAGTAAAAATAATAAAATATAACTTTTGTCGAATTACTGTCATATTTTATTCTATAGATATATTATAATGAAATTTGTTCTTATAAAAAAAACTTGTGTTGGTATGTTTTTCCGAGTAAAATAAATGTACTTAAATAAAAGCTCAATATGGGTAGGTATTAATTAATAAATTTTTTTATACTATGTAGGCAGTGGGCACATTTAATTCTACAATGACGCGTATATTTTTAATTAGTAAAGGGAAATCATTATTATTATCATTATTCCTTTATTCAAAAATGAATGTATACAATATTTTTTTGTGTGGTATTATACTGGTATACATTCATAACTCCTTTGTGTTTAGGATTACCTACTTAAAGTTATTGCACAACAAATCATATATTTAAATTCATAGAAAAAAGAAATAGTTTCTTCAAATATCATCCAGGCCTCCAAGGTTATAGTTTTGAACTCAATTAATTTGCTTTTACACGATTACATTTTCACTTCACTAAAATAGAAAAAGACGCACTGTCTGGAGAACTTTTGGGAACTCTAACCTGTATGTGGAGGAGAGGAATAAAGTCTCTGAAATGGAACGGGGTCATGGCAATAAAACAGTTTCTTCTTAGTGCTGTCGTTCATAAATAACGGATAAGACGCCAGTCTCGGTGCGAACAGACGCTTTAAGTATTAGGTACATTTTTTCCTCCTTTTTTTTCATTTGGAATACTACCAAATATATAGTTTCAAGTTTCCTCAGTTATATTGATTACATAGATATGTGTTCAAATGTTGGGTTAATGACTTAAATCTCTAGAACTAACATTCTTATTTTGAACAAAAGTCAAAGATTAATCTTAATTCATAACAAGTATAATTATATTGCTTTTATTGCAAACAAAAAAAATATCTATTGAATGGAAAAATCTACAAACCGAAAATAAAGTAAAATAAATTAGGAAATGATTGAAGATCGTATTTCTATTAACTAGATAAACAAATAAATGATACAAAAATAATTTTTCGTCTTTAAAGCATTGTAAAATAGTTAAAAACAAATGTAATTTTCAATTCACTAAAATCTTAAACTGTTGGATACAAGTATACAACCAATAGAGCCTAGTGGATAACTGATATGAAATCAATTTTGAAGAATTGGTTTAACACAGTGGCTCCAACCTTTTATGAGTGCGACATTTCACTATGAGATTTTTTCTGGAGTTTGAAAACCCGTTTTTATCAAATATTAAAAATATTGTCAAATCTATGGAAACGTAAAAACATAATTTCACGCTTAACAGATTTTAATACCATAACTCCAATGAAATATACTATGGTTTATCCGAAGATATTTCAAGTTTTGAAGTATAATATTATTTTAATATTTTTTTTTTTAAATATCTCTCTTTACAATTAATTTTATGATAATATGTAATAACTAATAAGTATTTACTATTTAGTATTTATTTATTTTATAATTTCTAATCATGTATTCTATTATTTCAGTATCACAAAATTATATCACATTTTAAAATAGTATAATAAAATAGGCATCGATCAATATTAATTAAAGATATTATGAATTTAATGTACACTATACCTTTTATATGACAGTCACCAGTCATTTACATTATCTTTGTTTGGAAAGACTATAGTAACACTATTTGTTTTGAATATTTTCCATTTTCCGTCATAAATCATAATATATATATTTAATTTTTCTTGTCATATATCTTACATTATATCATCATTTGACGTAATTTTTACATCCTACTCGATATAATATATTTTAAATTTTTTTCTCATAAAAAATTCGTAACTTTACCGAATACATTTTACTTTTTTATTGAAAAAAATATATTTCTTGCTTTATATTGATTAAACTCTATTAAAACGGTTATTATGAAGTGGACACCACAACCTTCAAGTGTTACCTCCATAAATCATTAGGCGAACGTAAGAAATAGTAAATTTGCATTCAGCAGAATCAATGTTATGTTATTAGCTCTAATATCAAATTGAAGTATCGTATTGACCCATTACAGAACTAAAAGTATAGTCTATGGCTTCTACTGATATTTCGATTTAAAAATGTTTTTGAAATATTATAATTATTTTAAAATACTCATGATTTGCTTTAAAATATAATTGAAAACCAAGAAGATACATTTTAGATACCTGATATTTTTACCTTTAAATTTGATAATAGGTAAATTCACTCAAATTTTAAAGTTAACAGCTCAAAATCGGTTCTCCTAAACACAGATTTGCTATGATGTACGTTTGAAAAAATAAGACTGTGACAGAACATGTTGATTTAGCGCCCTATTGATATTTTTGCAGATTTCAAATTACTATCAACCATTATTTGATTTCAACTTCATCATAAGTCTCATTATTTTTTCATCTCAGTTGATTTCTGTTACTATTTGCTAGTATTTCAAATATTATGTAATGACAGCATAGAAACGAAAGATGGAAAGAAAAAAATCAATATTGTTAGATAACTGTCATAATCTGTTTCGTTTCGTTTTATTTATTTATATTTTTTTTTTGTATTACCTAGTATAGGTAATTACTCTTGACTGGAAATGTTACATAAGCTGAATACAATTTTTGGGACTATAATAACCTCACTTGTTATATATGTTATGTGTATCGTAAGTAAGTAGCGTTCTAAAGTTGTCCAATTATATCTAACTGTGGTTAGTGTTTTTATTGTGTTTTTTGCGAGTTAATAAGTAGTCTGTAGTTTTTTTTTATTTTTCTTATACCTCCATGTTTTATCACTAGTGTCGTGAGAAATTTTAAAGCATCAAAAACTGTGTTTAATATTTATATAGAAAGATTTCGCATTTTAATATTTACATAACAGTTGCAAATATTATTTGTCCTCCGAATCAATTAATCGGTCCGGTAGTCTGTCACAAGTCACGACCAATCGAAAACACAAACCGGAAATGGGAGCACCCTGTAAATGGGAACTGAAACATATTCGTTCTGTTAGATTTAAAAAAAAATAAAAAATAATATAACTATTCTATACAAGTTTACTACTCGACATTTGCATTGTGTTAAGTGAACCCATCCTAACATTATTTAGCTGTGGGACTTAAGGTTTAATAAAAAATCTTTGAGTTAATACCAGTATATTTAATAATTTGAGCATTGCAATCATTTTTTTTACATTTGGGTCAGTATTTTAGATGTACTCAAAAAATAGGTAACGCAAATGACATTGGTATTAACGTTTCTGCAACGGATTTTGGTGTATCTAATCAAACTTCAGTAATAACCAATCTTTTTCGAATTGCATATAATTTGATATGTATTATATTATATTTACAAATGTAATTGAAAAAGTAATTGTATTTCATATATCATGAATATTCAAAATACAATTGTATTATTAATTAGTTTTACTTTGTTAAAATGTTGGTAGGTACCTATGTTTTTTTTTTAGTTTCGTGTTTCTAAACAAGGTTTGGATACCTACCCAGTATTCATGTTGTTTCCGTTAATCCAATCGTAGTTATTGGTACATAAATCTGCGAGTTTTAAGTTGGTTATCAAGGAAATGGAATATATTATTTGTAACATTATTATCACTAATAAGACTAAAGTTGAATAAAAAATGAATTTTATAATTGTCTTGCTAACGTAAAATGTATATGAATATTAATTATATCATAATTGTATTCAAAAAAAAAGTTTGATTCAATTATTGATATGTTTTATATTTATTCATTGAAATATTCAATTTATTACAATAATAAAATAGATATACCTTATAGTGTCATTATATGAATATGTAACATACGTACCACACTTATAACATGGATTGAAATGCTTTACAGATATTTTTTAGAATAAATTAAATAGATAATAATATATGTACAAATAGATGATCTTATTAATAAAAATCAGAAATGAGTTTTAAAAAAAATACAATTTTGAGAAAAAAATGTGTATCGTTTAGTTGAAACAAATCTTTTAAACTATTTGAATTCTATGAATTCCTCGGCGATGTTAAACTGTTATGATCCAGATTTATTAGAAATACCTATTATCCTATTAAAAATATACTTTATTCTATATTTATTTCAGTACATTTTCGATAACAAAAAAATAATGCTAAGTTTTAATACTAATTTTCATAGGAAATTAAATTAAAATAACTTTTCCCGATATAGCTTTTCAATAAAATTCTAAGATTCTACATCGAAAACAAAAATACTACAGTAAATGTGTTTTTAATATTAGCTTAATATATAATAATTGATACGTACATAAATCAGTACATTGATTTACACATATTAAAATATGCAAATTTTATTACGAAGCTAATAACTACAATAAATATAGTAATCATTATACTTAGGTATTAGTCGTTCACTTACACTACTGTAAGTTGATTTTATTGTATAAATAATGAATAATAAATAGTAAATAACGTATCATGTAGTCATACAAATAGGTACTTTATATACTGTACATTTATAAATGTATGCATGAAATGCTTGTTGTCATTTAATTATTTAAAAAAATGTACAATACTATAGATATTTTTAACAGTAATGCATAGAGTTTAGAGCTTATATGTTTATATATATATATATAAACATATAATATATAGATTTATACATTGCGTCAATTCCAGAAGGTTTGATTTCGATTTATTTCATGTAATATTGACTTTTGAAACCACTGAAGTGATGTAGTGTAAAATATAGTATGTCTCAGTCTCTCTCACCTCCTACCCTAACCCACTCAAACACACGAACATACTACACTCTCTATCTCTCTCGACTCTCTCTCTCTCTCTCTCTCTCTCTCTTAATATATATATTTATTTATTTATTTTTATGGATTACTTAGTATATATATATATACCATTGCAATGAAAACGCTGACATTTGCGTCAATGCTACTAAAGCTGCGTTGCTATGGGATTTATATATACAATATCATATTTGAAATGACGACTTTTCGACTTTTTTTTTACAAACTAATAAAAAATGTTTGAAGATTTGTGTAGGAATATTGCCACTTAAAATGTGACGTACCTAATGAGTTGCATGTTTGTATTTATTTTATAAATGTATAACAATACCATCAAAGATGAAGCCAAAGAGCTTAAGTAAAATGCCATAATTCAAAACATTGTAACTAACACCTATCATATTAATTTTAGTGTATTTGCTCTTTAATTCACTGTTTTTAATTTATTCCATTCAGAATTTAAAACGAAGTTAAATTTAATTTGCATCACTCAAACTAAAAAAAAAAACAAAACAAACTTTTAATTATTAAAAATATACCATAATAGTTTAAACAAAATAAATTCAGACTTAAATGGTTTAAAAAGTTTTAAAATGTCATTTTAAACTGTAAAAAGAAATTGACGGATCTTAAAGCTTAGTTTGTATTTCCTATACTATAGTGTTACCATAAATAGTGTGTAGCAGAAAATCGTTTTATCCCTTTCTTGAACATTAAGCCCCATTATCTAGAGACACTTTGAATAGGACAGGACTTTTGTGACATTTTTAGAAGACGGCCGTCTATGTATTTACAGTTTTTCATCGAAACCAAAGTTATAAACAATAATTTTTATGAAACGAGTGTGTTGTGAAAAACGAACAGTATTATCAGCGACCACCGATTTTAGTATGAGTCATAAAGGTTGTCGTATTCCACAGCGTATAGCATTCATATATTAAACCTGCACAATTGTCACCTTTTTCTGCAATAGGTACATTTCCAACACACTAACTTTTATCTACAAAATATCTTTAAAATATAAAAATTATTAAACAACTTTTAATGTCTTTTTTTTAGAGTTTGTCCCTTTTTTATATACATGTGGTCACCCTAGTATATCCTCTTGAATAGTGTACAACACCACTTCTAAAATTGTTTTGTAACATTTTAATGGTGAATATCTTGACACGCTATGGTAAAATCAGTTTAGATTTAAGTAGCCTTCACTCGATGAGAGCCACTTGTTTACCCTTGTACTGCCTTTGTTCCGTTTAGAGCAACTACTATACATTGTAGATGTATTTTATAAAGAAATAAAACATACTAAAGTCATATTCTTTTATAAGAAAAACCTATTGTATTTGTATGTTAACAGGAAATATCAAAAAATACAACAGCTGAAAAGAACACTTACTGTACAATACTTGATAAATAATACTTGGGGGATTTTAACTTAAAATAATTTTAGTAAAATTGTACAATTTATCATAACTCAAATGACCATCATAAAATTTAATATAAGAGAATCTGCTGGTTATTGATTTCAGGTTTTTGAGCGTAAAAAAATGGCTATTACGAAAAAAGCATCAAATTGAACTTGCCAGAAAAAGAGGCTGGAAAGGATATTGGGTGTGCCTTAAAGGTACTACATTACTCTTTTACCCATGTGATTCAAGAGAAGGCCGTAGTGTAGAGGCAGCACCAAAACACCTTATAATTGTGGATGGAGCGATCATGCAACCTATCCCAGAACACCCAAAGAGAGACTATATTTTCTGTTTAAGTACAGCTTTTGGGGACGCCTATTTATTTCAGGTATGTTATGACCAACAATTTGTTTGCAAAAACTATAACTAAAAAAGAAAAAAAAACTATTTGTGTTGAATTAATATTATATATTGGTAAATATTATGATATATATATTTTAGCAGGATGAAAAAGTATTTATTTTCTGGAAGTATAAAATAGTTGTTCGATGTAATCAAAAGTTTAGAAACTCAGTTGGTTAGTTAATCTGATCTTCTATGTTTGTTTTAAATTAGATACAAAGTTTTTTTAATCATACTTGCACAAGACCAAATATAGATGTGTTTAGAATTTGATCATTGAGGTTGACCTAGATTATAGGCTTTTACACCATTAGCACACATTAACAATGCTTGTTACTTAAAGTATAACAAAGGCAAATATTTTATATATTATATTAATATTATACTATATGAACACAGATGATTATTTTCACAAATTTTGAAATTCACAACTAAAAATATGGCAGTATATAGATAGTGTATTAACAAATTTAAACAAATTAATCAAAAAATAATCGGCTCACAGAAAAAATTCACAAAATAATCAATTTGTTAATATCAAAATAATATGTGTATTATTTTTCAGGCGCCTTGTCAAGTAGAATTGGAAAATTGGGTGAACAGCATACATTCTGCATGTGGGGCCGCATTTGCTAGGCATAGGGGAAAAATAGGAACACTTCATCTATTACAAGAAGAAATTTACAGAATCGAAAAACAAGTGGATGCGGTTTGTATTTTAAAAATGACTATGTTTAATTTTAAAGAAATCATAATTTACCTATTTTAAGTAGATAAAAGTTTAGTGCGTACGTACTTTACTAATTCAATAAACAATAATATTTAATAATAACCTTATTATAATTTTCTTCACTTAAATTCTTACAATAATCGTGCTATAAACATAACTATTTTTATTATTTATACTTTTTTGATGACTGACAAATTTCATATACAATCGAATAGTATTTAATAATAAATATATGTAGTATAATATTTTATATTTATAATATAAGTGGGTGCCAAGTTAACAATCGTGTATGATTATATCATGATATCGCTGAAACTTGTACCGCTTAATTATTTGATTAAAAACTTAAATGTTATAACCATAGAACCTCCAATCAATATTGCTATCGATATTTATTCTTGATTATCAGTACCTATTTATTGCTGAATTAGTTAAAAAAAAATTTTGTTCTTACTTTTTATATACCTACCTACGCTCGATTTAACATATAATTAATACTTACGACCTGTCTAATTACATATACCGCTTGATTGATGATTGTATACACTAGTATTTATCGTTGGACGAGTATTGAAATACAATATTTTTAAATGACCTTCCTTAGCATTCGTTATGAAGTTACATAAATATTTCATCAACAACAAACATATGTTTTTAAGTACCTACCTACTCTCGTTGAATACGCATTACTATTGATAAAATAGTATAATACATTATATTATAAAACTGTCTGCCTGTATCATGCAATTAGGCAGGTAATAGACGTTATACATTTTGTTTTGCTGCATTAAGTAATAAAATGTATTTTGTATAATATGCTAGTTTTAATTTTTAAATGAGAATATAATGTGCCTATGTGTATGTATTTTTTAATAAAATATATGTCATTTTAACATTATTAGTTAAATATAATATTTACACCTGATGATAACAATTATTTTTCTACAGGATCAAAAACTTAAACACATGGCTGAAGTACAAGTAGAAATGCTAACCGATCCAGATACTAAAGAACAAATTAAAAAGCAAATTTTAGCATGGGAAGAAAATTTAGAAAGACTACATTGTGAACAGTTTCGGCTCAAATGTTACATGGCTAGTTTGCAAAATGGTGAACTTCCAAATCCCAAGGTACATTCAATATTCCGCATTATTATTTATCTAATTATTTCTTTGTATATGAATTGAATTGATCCAGTGGCGCCGAAGTCCATGCTAACGTCGGGCCATGGCCCGACCTCTTTTTTTAAAAATGTCGCCACATCATAACTTTATTATGAGCATGAGTATATTAAATCCACGTCACTGTAATTACGAGTAAATATATATATTAGGGCAGGTGCTTCTATATTAAATAATTATTGAGACCACGAAGTTTCGAAATTGCCCCCCCCCCACATTTTCAAAACTTCGGCGCCACTGAATTGATCTCAAATATAGTTACCTATTTAATAAATTATATTAATAATATAATGTACGTATATATTTCATAATTCAATTAATAATAGAATGAAAATAAATAACTATATGCACAATTTTAGATTCTTTTAACGCGTGTATCCAGAGCCACAAAAATCACATTAAACAAATTAGGTGTGTTTACTGTATCTTCGCTACACGCATTTATATGCGCTCGTTCTCCGTCATTGCTCAACAATCTTTTGGCTGGACGCGGTGCAACTAAAAGAAAAGCTCCAATCTTATCTCGTTCAAATAGTAGTTCAGGTAGAAGATCACTGCAATCATCAACATCCAGAGATGACGCAGAAAAGACTGTGAAAGTATCCTTGCCTGATAATCAAGTAAGTACATGGCATTTATAATTTATAAATAATATCTTTTGAATTTAATATAACTTATATTTATTCTTCTTCTTAAATTATTAAATTAAAATATTCAATATTTTTGCAATGTTCAAATAATAAATACCTCTATTTATATGAAAATATTTAGGGCTTATTTTTTTTTTAATTAACATGATATTAAAATACAATGCTTGTTAATTATTAATTTCTTTCAAGTTAGGTAATGAAAAGATATTTTCAAATTTAAACATTTAGTAATTCGACACAACTTTACTACATTTATGTACAATTTATTTTTTATAAACAAAATGTATATTTACTTATTTACCTTAGCCAATTATTGTCACATTGATTTAATAAAATGATATTAATTATTTTGATTATGATTTTGTCTGGTACTCATTGTAGTAAATTTGTTTTATAGTCGGTACAAATACATTTGCGAGAGGGCATGACAGTCGATGAGTATTTGGCATTATCTTGTTCGAGAAAAGGACTTAATCCCATAGAGCACTTTGTCAGGGTAAAAAAGAGAAGGGATATGGAAGATCATAATTATTTTGTTCCTCATCGAACTGATAGTATCGAAACTTATGTAAGCATTCCATTCAACGTAAATGCATATAATAATATTTATTTAATTAATTTAACAAATTCATATTTTTATTTAGTTACATACTCACGAAGTTGTCGAAGTTCGTGCTAAAATCCTTTATCAAGTAGAACTTGAAAGAAATACATTAGATCATATGTGGGGATTTTCCGTAGAAGCAGAACTAATTGAAAATGCTGAAAGACAAGACGAACTTTGTTGTTATGTTAGTCGAGTTGAAGACAAAGGAATTGCTATTCAAAATGGTAATCTGTTATTTTAATACTTAAGAGTACTATTTTAATTAACTTCAATATTAAAAATATATATATCGTTGTACAATTTGAATCGCAAACATTATAATGTATTAATTACAGGTTTGATAAAAAGCGATGAGATTATGGTGATAAATAGTGCAATAGTCAGTGATTTAGATATGATGTACTTGGAATCGGCCCTTCAAGAAGAACTTTCTTTGAGTATGATGATGAGATCATCCAGAACCGAACCTCCTCAATTACCTTCAGGCTCAAGAATTATATCAAAGACTACTGACGATATAATTCAATCGTTAGTTTGTCCTCCACCCCCTACTGATCCACCAGTGATCTCAGAAGAAATGATATCTGGACTGATCGTTCCTGCTCCAGGGTGGAGTAAGTTGATATAATAGGCTATTATAATACACTATTGATATAAAATATATTATTATAATTATTTATTAGATAGGGAAGGTATTTATGAATTGGAAACTAACAACATGATTCAAGATTCAAAACTTGCTTCTAGAGGAAATTCTTTTGAAATCGAAAATTTAATCAAGGTTTGTTTTATTATTTATAAAATTATAATGGTCGGAAAAATTATGTTTCAATATTGTTATTATTAGAGTGCTGGTGAAGTTACTGGATTCTGTAGATCACCGGAGCCAGCAAGAAGAACTAGCCCAACAGTAATTTCTGCTGTTCAGAATCCTCAAATAACTATTGGTCGTCAGTTGACAGACGCTGAAAAACTTAGAAAAGTTATTTCTGAACTTGTAGATACCGAAAAATCATATATTAAGGTACATTAAATTTAATATTTAATATTATGATATGAAAAAAAATAAATTTCAGATAACATTAAAAATTACCTAGGTATACTTTGCACAATGCACATATCGTATATTTTTATATTTGTCTTAATAAAAATTAAAAATTGTTTACAGCACTTAAATAATCTACTGGAGAATTATTTAGAACCACTTAAACACGAAACATTTTTATCTGGGGCAGAAATAGCAGTTTTGTTCGGTAATATCCAAGAAATTGTTCAGTTTCAACATCAGTTCTTACAAAATTTAGAAGAAGCCGTTCACCAAGAAGCTAATTTCCATAAATTTGATCAGCCAGATCAATTTAAAGTACAATTATTAAAATACATAAAAAATACAATTCAATACTGAAAATTAATGCATATGAATTATAATTTATATTACAGAATATACTTTTCTCAATCGGAAGCGCCTTCTTATATTATGTCAATCATTTCAAGTTGTACAGCTCGTTCTGTGCAAGTCACTCAAAAGCTCAAAAAATACTTAATCCTAGTAAGTTACTTTCATTATACAAATTTCAGAATACCAATGGGCTCGTTAACAAATTACAACTATTATTTATTTATAGCTGAAGGCAATCAAGCTTTACAAGAATTCCTATGCTCCAGAAATCCTCGGCAACAACATTCTTGTTCTTTAGAATCTTATTTAATTAAACCTATTCAAAGGATATTAAAATATCCACTTTTACTACAACAACTAAGGAATCTTACTGATCCTCATTCAGATCAACACCTCCACCTCGTTGGTAAATAAATATTCAGTCTTAAAATAATAAAATTATATATTTGTTTTAATAAAAACTAATTATTAGCTATGGTTTTTACATTTTAGAAGCACTTAAAGGAATGGAAAATGTCGCCGAACATATTAATGAAATGCAAAGGATACACGAAGAATATGGAGCAATCTTTGATCATTTATTCAGACAACATCAAAAATCTTGTAAACAAGTAAGTTATTATTAATAAGACATTAAAACTTAAAATGACATTTATTGCTAAAATGTGAATGTTTTTTTGTAGTCTATTGACTTGTCTCCGGGTGATTTATTGTACTATGGAGGAGTTGAATGGTTGAATATATCTGATTTCCTTGGGAAAATAAAGAAAGGCTTAGAACTACATGCCATGTGCTTTGTATTCAAATCAGCAGTGGTGTTTTTATGCAAAGAACGTTTAAGACAAAAAAAGAAATTGATGGTTAGCTTTGGAAGATTACTTAATAATACTTCATTTTATAACACTAATTACACTGATATTCTTTTTTTTAGAGTGTATCAGGCAAAAGTGAAATGGAAATAATTAGATATCAAGTTTTGATACCAGTTACTGAAGTACAAGTTAGAGCAAGTTCTGCTAAAGATATGGAAACACATTTCTTATGGGAGCTGATCCATTTACGTAGTCAATCCCACAGAAGAGCAGAAAAGATTTATGTCCTTTCCAATAGGTATGTCAAATGTTATTTAACTGTTATAACTGAATATACTTGTTCATTAATAAATATAATACATTTATTTAGTACTGCCGAATTCAGAAATGCATTCTTAAAAACTATACGCCAGATAATTCGTGAAAGCGTACGAAACATGAGCATCCCTACTGCCAAACCTTCTACTAATTCCCCTGCTCAACTAGTAAGCAATACCGCAACATTAGGGAGACAAACAATTAATACTGGAGGTAAATACTACTTTTATATTTTTTGGTACGTTTTCATTAATGTTGAAATGTATCTAAGGTTTACAATTGATATCAGAGGATCATAAAACGCCTGATATTTCAAACTTACCCCAAGGATCACAAACGCTTGGAAAACCTAAAAAAATACCTCCAAAACCACCCCAAAGACATTCTTCAGGGAATACTATGACCAAAGTGGAGTTAAGGAATCAAGGGACATCGTCAACTGATTCTACAACGGATACAGCAGGGACTCAAACTATTTTGCCAAATTATAGATCAAGAAACAGAGGTAAAAAAAAAAATAATAATCAACTTAAAGTAAATGCATTATTTTTATTGGCTATAAAGTTAACATTATGAATAACACGTGAAATTGTATTATTTTATTAGTATTATAAAATAGCGTATAGTATTTCATGATAAATAATTCATACTTCATAATAATATTAATATATCCAACTGTTTTCAGAAGAACGAAAAGTTGACGAACAAAAATCCGAAGGTGAAGATGATAGCTGTAGTCAACCTGGACCATCTAAAGGACTTCCAATGCACGGTAGTCTGGGAAAAACACCCAACTACTTAATGCTTAGTACCACGTCTACGTTATCAGCAAGTAGTACCGGCAGTCAAGCAGCCAGACTGGTGGAAAGATCACAACAACCAGAAAATTATCAACCACCTCAGGTGCAGGACCTCGGTAAGACGGATCTGCACCAGGATTACTAAAAAACGCGCTACCCACTGAGAATAGGTTAGACCCGTTATAATGTTAGCCAAGGCTATGGGTCAAATTATTTTGGTAGAGTGAACTCACGAAAGTAACATAGGAGGGGATGGCGGTAGAGTTCACTCCACCGGGCAAACAAATTCTGAAAGATATAGAAATTATTAATGTTAATGTCTTATTGTTAATAAACAACCTGTTTGTTGTATTAAATAAGCTAGGTGTTATAATTTGCTTAAATTAATTATTCCAGAGATATTGATGATGGTATTTTGATTTATATTACTCCACAGGTTCTCCAGTGTGGAAGCCCAGAGAATTGGGAGAATCGTCAACATTGCCACGAAAAAAAAAAACGAATCAGGAGCAGTTTGAAACAAGGACAATGGTGAGAAAAGGAGAGAAAAAGGATAAAAAATGAATAAAAACGCGGGACAATCACTCATAAAAAAAATGTTCATGCATAAAAATACCCAATTAATGAGGAATGTGATAGCTATCACTGACTCCTAGGGATCTTTTTTAAAAATCTAATTGGGGATTTCTATGATGTCCTTGTTACCAATGGTATGGAAAGGATCTGCCGGCCGAGGGTCGAAGAAATTATGTTTATGATCAAGTTAGATTATTTCTTAAATTCTCATTACCTTATTGGTATGTTCCTACTTTATTTATTACATAAAATTAGAATTTATTACAGTCTTTTGTTTCGTGTAAATAATAATTAAAACGAAACTGAAACATTTTGTCACAATTAAAAACTAAAATATACCGGATTTGGGCTGTTTATTATTATCGGTAATTAAAATACAAACGGCGATACAACGACCATGGTAAATTATTCTTTTAACCACCTTTACTAATATTGTTATTAAACACCATACATTTGGGATACGCATTACGAAATTTATCCACGTTACGTTGACTTATATATATTAAATATTTAAATATATATGATATATAGACCATGTCTGTTTTAATGATTATGCACCAACTTAAGGTTATATTACAAATCGTACATATTAAAAGCTCAAAGCTCAATTTCATTTAAATTATTTTCTTCTTTCAAATTTCAATAGATTTTATTATGAATTGTTAACATTTCTCCATTTGATCTCATTAGTGATATTTGAACTTAAAAAAATTTAGACCTCCTAACTGCAGAATACATAACCACGAATCATTTACTTTGTTCGAGCACATAGGATAAGTAAATAATGATTATTTTTATGCTTAATATGTACATTGGACATTTTGAGAATAAATAATATTATATTATGGTCAACGCGTGAACGACAATAAATTGTTATTGTGCAACGACGACGAAATAAAACCTAATTAATTGTATTCATTAGATGTATTAAAGTGGTGTAGGAAAACGGTTTCATTTATTTGAAGGTTGAATTTGCAAGTTTAGATTCATAAGAATAATGGTCCCAAAAAATCTAGCCTCGTATTTTTGTTCGTGTTCGGAATTCCCTAATGAAATCATTGAAACTATTGTTGAAAATAATGTTTAACATTAACGATAAACAACCTATTGTAGTATCAATTAAATAGTCCTAGCTCTTTTGGAAAAATTAAAATTGACAACCGTAAACTATGTCATCTTGTGTGCCACACAAGTACCCAACATAAATCGTAAAAATATGTTTTTTTAAAAAAAACAATTATATACATACTTTCTAAGTACTATTAGGTTATCTTATAATCATTATTAAAATACGGAAAAATGTCGTGCTCATGTAGGTACCTTAGAAATTTTAGAATAAGTTTTTAAATTTAAAAAAAAACCACCCGGTTATGTTTTCAATTTAGTACAATCGTTATCATTAAATTATTATATGAATTAATCGAACATTTTATTTCATTATAATGTTTATTACCTACTCGAATAAAAAAAAATATATATATACTTATGTATGTATGTGTGTGTGTATATACATACCATATATTATATATGTACATGTTTAAATTAGGCCCACCGCACAAAATAAAAAAAAAATATTATTATTATTATTATTATTATTATTATTATTATCTAATTTTATTATTATTTTAGTTCTTCCGTCAATCGAAAAAAAAAAAAATGTTGAGAAATTATTGTTGTGTTATTGTATTTGTAAATAAAATATAAATGAAAAACGTTTTCGCATTTAATTATTCGCGTTTGTCACGCGCAGGGTAGGTACCCTATCATGAATATAATATAATCATAACTGTTCTATTAATAATATTATAATATTATATTTTCGTCGGTGTCGTCGGTGTCGTCGGATAACAAGTCAGGACATCATACTATACATGAGACCGGTACGTAAATGTACGCTTCGGCTAGATGTGGAGGTATTAATAATGTCCACGTAATATAATTAACATGATGGTGAATCAGTGATGATGGTGATGATGATGATGATGACGAATGACGAATGACGATTTCGTGACGACGACTATCGAAAGCCGAAGCTCAAACGACGTAGCTGACGGCTGGCGCGTACGCTGGTGCAGTGTGATAGGCGGCGAGGACCGCGGGTTGTTGATGGTAGGCCTGCACGTGGTGCGACACGTACGGCACCGAATCGCCGGCGTAGTAGACGTGTCTGAACACCGGTTCGGTTTGCTGCACCACGTACGGTTGTCTGACGACCGTCACGTCCGGTGACGCCACGTGCACTTTGGGCAGGATCACCGGCGATATGAATCCGTGTGATGGTGCGGAGTACGCAGCCGTCGCAGACAAGACGCAATAAACAGCCAGTGCCACCTGTTTATTGATGTAACACTGTATTTAGTATAATGTTTATAATAGTAGTATGAAGGGTGGGTATGAGTGTGTACGACTATTAATTAGACGGGCCAGTCAAAGGTGGACCATTATTTTTAGTGATACACTGTAAGTTAATAAAAAAAAAAACGGATAAATGGATGTCACTCTGCTGTACATTAGGTGTCTAGGAGGTCTCTGTAATGGATGGTATTTAATTTGAATTCAATGATTTCACATCATTGTATACGAAAAACGATTCTGAGAGGAGACGGTATGTCAGTCTAGGATATTTTATATTGTTATTACTTGTTATTAATATGGTAGCCGGTAAGTTGTCAGTAATCATGTCTATGCGTTTTTAATATTTTTCAACTGCTATTGTAACAATATATCAAGAGTCATGTATTAAATTTACATGCTTTACGACCCAACCAATACAATTTTATTGACATTAAAAGAAGAAAAAAAATTTTTAAAAATGAAAATTGAAAATATTTGTCAACAGCTTAAAACTAGTCGAAATATTTTGAAAATGTTATCAAGTATATGAATTAATGAAATGAACATATTATGTAAATTTCAAGTGTCTACAATAATTCGTTTTTGAATTACAACAAAATAAGAAAATCGCTTTAAGAGAAATCGAGTGAATATCCAATGTTGTAAAAATTTCAACTTCAAACGCTCATAAAAATTAAATTTGACTTTCCGATAGAAATTTTTTTATAAAGGTAGATAGCCTTATAGACTTATAAGGAACCTTGTAATAAATTTTTAAATCTTAGTTAAAAAATGAAAAATTTTTATGAATTTCTAACTTAATATGATATGCTAGTTTTCGTGATTTTTACAAATTTTGTCAATATTCTAAGTTTAAACGCTCATAAAAAAACATGGATTTACGCTCAACTTTTTTTTAATTTACCTTAACAACAACTTACGAAGAACCTTGTATTACATTTACAAGTATTTTGACAGCGTGAAAATATTTTTATCGACTTTAGTTTAAAAAAATAACAAATAATAATCGAAAATGTCATGCCTATAAATAGTTCAACACAAGTAAAAATATTTTGAAAATTGTATGGTGTATAGAATATGCTAACACAAATATTCAGTGAAAATGCCATGTATCTACGGTGATTTTTGTTAGAGTCACACTAAAAACCAAAATTGATTTTCTACTAGTTTTTGCATAAGTAGTTCTTACAGAATTTAAAAATTATTGAAAATATATTAATTCATAATTTCTTGTCATACCTAAGCGTTCAACCTTAAAAGTTTAAATTTAAATGTATTTTAATTCTTCAAAATCACGAAAACATGCTAATTGTTTTTTATTAACTTTAATACCTAAGACTTGAAAATTTGATTCAAGATTCCTTATAAGTTTTTCTTACTAGAAACCATTTTGTAGCATAAACTTACTTTAAATGTATATGACCGTTTGAAAATAAATTGTTTATGTTATTGCCAATTAGTTAGATATATTGCTATTTATAAATAACAATCATAGTAACTTTGTTTAAGTTCAACGGGTTTTTTTTTTATTATTCAATGTAGTTAATATACTACAATAATACCTACAAATTATACCAATAATTATAAAGTAGGAATGTAATTTAAACCAAGAAAAATCTATAGGCAAGTACTCTACTACAAATATACATAGCCGATACATGATCGATTATGAAACTATTAAAACTGTTAAATATGGCTAGAGGTGTACCTTTACTCGTCTAATAAAAATGTAATATTAATGAAAATATATACTCACTAAAAACTTCATTTTTACGAAAGTGCAGCTAAACGAACACTAATAATAATGATGAATTACGGATCTTTAGATTGACACTTATTATAAGTAGGTTCAACTTACTATACAGTGTGGATTATATCGTAGATACTTTTCGACATTCATATTTTCGTAAATCGACATGAGTTATATAGCAGACAGATATCTTTCTGATGAATTTCCCACCACTTTGGTGGTATAATAACCTCACCATCACGCCCAATGCGCAGCGGAGATCATCCTGCATGGCAACGACCTCCACCGTTATTTTTTTTTAATTAAACCTACTCCAACTCATTTGTTTGCCATATTATAGGCATGGCAGGATTGGTGTGATATTGAACTATGAAAACAATTTCCATTGATACCTATTGTGTTGTACAGAGTTCAGAAGAATGATAAAACAAAGTCAATTCGACCATTGTATATTTTAATTAAAATGCTCAATAGAGTTTATAATGTTAGACTTAAACATAGCAAACGGGTATACCTATAGCTAAGGTACCTGCGATTAATTTTTTATGTTTCAGTAATGCAGTGTCTAAACAAAAACAATTATTCCTTAATTTTTCTATTCTTGATCAATAATAGTAGTTATTGTAAAACCGATCACAGTAAGAAGTCAGAGGATATTAACCCTAATATTTTCTTACATTTTGGATTCTGTGTTATGATCGTTATGGAGAGCACTACTGTACAAGGAATTTGTTTAGCTTATAGCAACTACTATAGGCAATATTTATTATGAAATGTATGTAAGAAAAACAAAATATTATCCCTACAGCAACACTTAGAAAAAAATTCTGGTTACTTTTAGGAATCTGATAAAATTAGAACATTTCAATATTATCACTGTGGCTCAACTAAAAAACAATATCGGGATGCTTAAGCCCAATTATACAAATTCCAAATCAAAAGTGAATATTTTAGATTTATATTGCAAAGAAATTTTTTTTTGAATAGGTATAATTTTGAGGGTGCTAAAAGAAAAGGGCAATCCACTACTCCCTACCAATTTAATTTAAAATTATTACAATTAAATGTTATGAAAGTACCTAAACGAAATATTTAACGTAAGTATTATAGTTTATAATTTTATATATTATTTACGTGTATATAGTATGAATATCAAAACTACTATCATAGTACGACTATAATTAATTTTAGTTTATCCATACATAATTAATATAATTTTGTATATTTTATTAACTATTAATAAATAAGTAATATCTGTGTGTTAATAAAAATGTTAACTTTTTTAGAACACGCCAATGCCACATAGGTACAGTAGGTAGGTATATTATGTATATACTTGGAGCCACATGCATAAAAACTAAGTTGGTTTAACTTACTTTATTTAGTTTATAGGTCTACACTTGGAGTCCACGAGAGAAGTAAATAGACAATAGACATAGACATAAAATCAGAACATTTGTTCATACACTCATACAAATTATTAGTATAGCCAGTATAGGTATTGAATAATAATACTTATTCAAATCGTAATTTTATAAAAACAGATGAATATCATCTTAAATATAAAAGGAATAAAGTGGATAATATATTAGAACATGCATGTAGCCATATGTAGGTACAACGATCTGGTCGTATTCAGTGCCGCAAAAACCGGGTGTGCAGAGTGTGCGGCGCACACGGGCCTCTATGCTTACATACAACCTGGAGCAAACGCTGAAATTGTCTTAAAACTCAAAACTTAATTATTCACAATACTTTTTATTTAAAGTTGAAACATTAGTGTAGTTGTAGGTACTAGGTATACTAATATTAGATTAAGTAATAAGTATGTTAAAATAGGGTGGTAGGTTTAGAAAAAGGTGGGTACCTACCTATCAAGTATTCAAGTGTCAACGTTTCTAACTTTTTAAGTACCTACTATCAATGTTCTATAAGATCTATTTTTATCGCGTCAATGGGTTGTTGTTTGTCGAATTGTCGGAAGAACAACAGGCTGATAGCGGAAAATGACGACGGTTGACGAGTGACGACTTTCACAACATTTATAGGTATTTAGTACTGGGAGGCCTCTGAAATCTGTTTAGTCTGCCTTTTTATTTTTATTAATTTTAGCTTATTCTATACCATTACTTATTCTTATTGTTCCCTTTGAAACAGATGGAATAAAACGTATGACCCAAAAATTATATATATATGTAGGTATACACAAAACCTAAAAACGTTGGCACTTATAGATTGTAATACTTACAGTAAAATTAATTTAGGAAGGGGTCCAAAAAAAAATATCACACACGGACCCTTTCTTATGAAGTTGCGGGAATGATCGTATTTATATTGTTGATCCAATTAGGATTGTTTTTTTTCTTAATAACCTTTTTTTTGTTTTTGATGATTTACGTACTTACTTGAATTTATTATATTTTTACACTGTGAGTAATTTATGTTAAACAAATAAAAATTGTTACACTTTGAAATATAAATTATATTTGATGTTTGGGCACCAGCTTTTAAACGCCGCTGGTCGTACGCGTACCCATGCATCACCGGTCAGTGGCGTAGCCAGGATTTTTTTTCGGGGGGGCTGATCAATTTTTTACACAGCGGTGGTTTAGTTTTTGATCGAATACCATAGACCATTAAAATAATTTTTACATTTTATTAACATTTCGGGGGGGAGGCTGCAGGTTCCTGGCTATGGCACTGTCACCGGACCAGCGATAACCAGTTACCAGTTACCACTTATACCAGTTATTCACTCAATCACCTACCTTCATTTATGTCGGGAAGTTGTTTTATTGTTGCACAAATACATATCGCTATACTTATAGGCATACCAATATATACAGCTTTTTCCTTTTATATATAAAACATGGAATTCATTCATTTTCTTCATATTAATATTTGAATAAGTACCTATTCAGTAGACAGTAGGTACCTATAAATGGCTATAATACGGCTATACTAATAATTTGTTTGACTAAATGTTCTGATTTTATATCTAGGTATATGTCTATTTACTTCTGTCATGAGCTCCACCCATCCATCTATAAATTAAAATAAACTGACAAGTATAAGATACGATAACGTATAGTTTGAGGATTGTCGCTGGATAAGGTATGAAGTCTTTTTTTCAAAATACTATCTTATGGCCGTAAAAATATTTTGAAAAAAAAAAAATGTTTTGTAAAAAAAAAAAATTGAAAAAAAACATCGAATTTTTTTTCAAAATATTTTTATCTAACCTTACCTTTTTTTCATAATACAAAACAGTGAATCAACTTATGAGTTAACAAGTAATTTGTTTATACTTTACATTTCTATAAAATACAATGCCTAGTTTTAATAAACATTTTACCATTGATTATAAGTGCTAGTAAGTTGTAGTAGGTACTACTGGACACTGGTACTAGGTAGTATTTATAATCAATGATTTTAGTTTAAGAAATAAAACAATACAAATATTGATTATAACTATCCCAACATTGATTTCTTGTTTGTACAATATACACTTATTGATTCTTCAATTACATTAAACTTCTTCAAACCTAAAACAAAAAGTTATTTACCTAATAAATATGTAACAGGTTAAATCACAATTTTTGTAACAAGTTTCACAATTTTTTGCTATCCATACTGCATCTGCAACAAGCTAATTCTGCAATAACAAAATTTAAAATAAACCTAATAATACAATTTGTATTAAATAATGCTATTTATAATAAAAGCTTTAACCTATAACTTTCTGGTCATAAAAATAATAAATAAATTTATAAAAAGTTATTAGTTAACTTTATGTAGAAATTTTGAGGTAAATTGTTTGAAATAGAGGTATATTAGTTATATTCAACTACTTTTAGGTGTGTATACCCATAAATTTATTTACCAATACACCACTGCCTATATGCCATATGGTAGAGGCATATGGCTATATAAATATAAATTTTAAGTTTACTATTTATAAGTAATGATATTATAGCATTTATAGCCCTACCTACTACTAGCGCTGTATAGATGTGGTGAACAGATGTAGTAATGAACCGTAACACTTTCGAACCGCGGATGGGCGTACAATTGAATACGGCGTTATCTAACCTGTATATCTTAGACTGTGATTTAATCCATCATATAGTATATTATAATCTTTAGAACAAAAATCCATTTGTAATTAATTTTTTCAATATAATAAACTAATTTTTTAAAAGAATGTTAGGACATTAGGGAACCAGTTATAATAGTCAAACAATTAATTTAACATTACATTTAAAGTATATTTATGATTCTACAACTTAAAAGTGTTTAAAAAAAAGTCTTTATGTACTATATAAATGGTAACATTTTATACATTGGCATTTTGTTGAGCAGTAATCACATGTTCATTCATAATCAACTGATACTCCTGAAACCGCTGTGTCATTCTTTCAGAAGCTTTAAGAAATTTGCTTGTACAATTTTCAGCGCACCTTACCTAGAATACAACATTGTTATTGAATTAAATACATATTTTATAGAAAAAGTTCAATGCATAAATCAATTTATTATATTTAATAGTATAATATTGTGTAATGATTTAAAAAATTTTAAATATCATTATTTACAGAAATTTAACTTACTTCTTCACTTTTAAGATCACCCATTGTAAAATCTGTTGCACAATCCATAAAACATAGCTCTGTTAATTTATTATATGATTTAAATATCTCTTTAACCTGAAAAAATAATAATATTGAAATAATTATTAGGTTATTTTTATAATTTTATAATAAATATAAAGATTAAAAGATATAGAAATGACATATTATGTATCAATCTTCATGCTTTGGTTACACAATAGTATTGAACTTAAATCAGTGAATCTTCTACTAATTATTTATGTAGTATTCGCTAGTGTAATTTGCTAGTGTAACTAGATGTCCCACATTAGAGGGGGTTACTCCACTTTTTAAATTTGTGTTCCTCTTTTCAAATGGCCCGGCTTTTGTCTCACATTCAGAAAAATTCAACATATTAATTTTTAATTAAATTATAATGCAAATACATTTTTTGTTACACAAGGTTCTAATTATACAATTTACAATCAAAAGTCAATATGGGTCATATGTCGGTGCCACATACGCGCTCCTTTATACATCTGGACCGTAACTTGTAGGAAAGATTCCATTCGCTGGGAATATAAGCTTGAATATATACTTACATACATAAACTTTAACAAGGTAATTTTTAAAATGTAAAGACACTTACCTGTTACAATATAAATTAAGATTTGAGAAAATATTAAATAATAACTACGTGTGTATCTTAAAAATATGAAATATTAATTATCATATTTATATGAAACAATATCTCAATATCAGAAACATATTTTTAGTGCGTAACTACGTCTAATATATTATAGAATCTTCAAAAATACAATAGATGGACATTGGAATGGTATTTAAAACTAATGACTAGAATGGTATATTTCATTTAATTGGTTAAACAATCAACCGATAATAAATTAAATATATTAGTTACAAAACTTACACTGGCCAGTTGAGACGCATCAAAATCCATGTTATTGTCAGTCACATTTGCATTTGCGTTTTCCATTATAATGTTGAGTGTCGGTTGACTGTTATTTTAAATTACCTAAAGTATTATCTGTGCTAATATGGAAACGAATGAACCAAAATAAATTACAATACAAATGAGGATTGAGGAATATCTTCAAAATTGATTTTTTTAAGCCCTATGATATAATAATTTGAAAAACTATACAGCACTATCACAGTATCACACATTCATACCACAGAATAAATTATCTGTGATAAGATCTTGGTTTGCTTCTTATCGTTCACGGATATAGTTTGAGATAGAGAATGAATTATATTTATATACATAGACTTATAGAAGTGTAAGGTACTAAGGTTAAATATTTGAATTTTTAATCGTATATTGCATAATTAGAATCATCGAGTCTATAAAAAAATCGTCAATTTAAAAACGACCCTGTAAAAAAGTATTTAAAAATATATTTTACATAAAAATCACAAATATCAGTTGTAAGTCAATTTTTAAGTCATGAAATTATAATATCAAAGATATAAATGGTTAAATAATGTGGTAGTCACTACTCCTACATTTATATTAGTTTACTTAAAAATCACGAATATCAGTTATTTTCACAAAATGTGAAAATAATCAATTGTAACAACTATTGTTAATGGCAATAAATTTGCAATAAAACCAATTTGAAAGAATAAAAAAAAATCGGTTCTAAAATTCTATGATATAAATAAACTGAAATTAATTTATTACTACTGTTGTTCTTGTATACCCTTAAAATTATAATTTTGACGTTTTGCTGCTTAAGGAATTAAGCATAGTGAAAATATTAAAAAAATTTAAGGGATTAGGGGACACCAAACAGAAGAATTAAGAAATTGTATTTAATATTTTATTTCCTAACAATTTGACTATTTGAGAAATTATCATTCATAAATTAATTGTCTTAACATGAGTATGTCCGATGTCAGAGCACTATTTATTTTCTCTCTTTGGCCCACACAGAACATATATTTCAAACATTCATAATATTGAATGTTTTGATTACAAATATGTGTACTGTAAACAAATCAATAGGTATGACATAATAATTTGTTTAAATAAAGTCAATCGTTGATAATTTTGTTTTTACCTCAGATCGCACCCAAGTATTTTTTTAAAGTTTCAAAATTTTTTCTAATGAAAATATTTTCGGACTAACTTCATGCGTAAAGTCTTTTCATCCAAATCAATATATTTTTGGATTCTAGCATAAATATAGCAGTGTTAAAAGTGTTATATATGTCAAACCTGAAAAAATTATAAACTCTTTATTAAACAAAAATTCATATCAAATTTACTATTGATGACTAAGCTAATACATGTTTAGTTTAAGGGCGTAAATATGGAGAAATAAAAATCATATCTCTAAGTATTCAAGGATGGGCAAGATACTCAAAAATCAGTATCGTGATATTAGATACTTGGATTCGGAGTATCGAGATACTAGATACTCAATACTTACATTTTAAGTATTTAGATACTCGATACTCGATACTTACGATTTTTTTTAAATTTTATTTATACACAATTAGGTAGGTAACGAATCTAGACAAATGCGCTTAACTTTAAATTTCCAAATATTAGTTAAGTATAAATATAATATAATACGTCAATCGTTAAATTAAATAAATAAATAAGGCTATCTCCCAATATGCGGTCTACCAAAATGGACGTGGTCTACCGTAATAATATTAAGAGTATAAAAAAAAAATTCAAATTTATTAAGAAATTCATTTATAATTGTTATACTATAAATTACATTAAAACACAGTTTTCAAATAGCTATTAAAAGTATAAATAAAATATGTTTTGATATATTAATGATCTACAAAATTATCCACAAAGCATAATTTGATATCTCTAAGGAAAGCATCAAAAATGTTATCAGTTTTATTTAATCCTCACCACTAATACTCCGCTAAGTACCTCTCTAAGAGGTCTTTCATTAGTACCACACATTTTCTTAACAATTTAAAGTCTAAGAGGCTTTCAAAGACTTTCAATTCTTTGCGTATTGGCACCAGTTTCAGGGTCCACAAAATTTGTTGAATGATTAACTGTTTCATATACATAGCATTTTTCAGATAAACCTTTATATCCAAACCAGGAATCAGAATGAACTGTATTGTTACATGATAAAATATATATTGTTATGAGCAATTAAGATAGAACATAAATTGGTAGATAATAAATAATTTATTAAATATAAATGGATTCCCAGCTATAAGTAGAACACCATAACATTGATAGACCGCATACTGTACTCATATTTATAGTTACCTAGTACACATAACGGAGGTAGACCGCATATTGGGATATAGCCATAAATAATAATAAAAATAAATTATAGATATCATATCTGTATGGTATGTATATCTGAATAGTTTATGGCACGACAAGAAACATACGATAAATAAGTAGTCCCATTCAACGTGTATGTGTGATGCGTCACAGTACACAGATATAACTTAATGTGGCTACTAGGTTGAAAAATAATTTCGTACAAGTTGTACTGCAATTAAATTATGGATTTATAAATTTAAATTCATCGCTCATATTATTTTACACATATTATAGTATTATACTCAAACATTGTCAAACAGTCGCAGTTGGTAGATAGGCGACTAAAAATAATCCTTTTTTTTTTTATTAAAATAGAAAAATTTACAATCTGTAACATAGGAACAATAAACAAATTGGATAATAGAATAATATTAACCTCACATGAATAGTATGAGGAGGGAGGCTGTCCAGTGACAATACCCTCAGAGATAATCCTAAAAAATTAATTTTTTAAGTATAGCATTAGTATCGAGTATTTTTTGACAAAATTATTTTTTTAAATACTCGATACATTGTCTAAAATCGTATCGCGATACAAGATACTCGATACTTCATATAATTGTATCGAGATACAAGATACAAATGTATCTAAGATACTGCCCGATCCTGTAAGTATTATATCACAACATTATATTGTTGTTGTTGTTCAACTCAGTTAAAGACTAAATCATTAGTATAATGTAATTAAAAATGAAGATATAGTTTATTTATGATAGCATAACATTATTTATATTAAATTTATTTTATTTTAATTCTTTAACTACAATAATAACATATTATTAAAATTCTGAACATTGAATTTAATACATTAATAATGGGTTGCATTGACATTTATTTTAATTAATAGGTTCTCAAACATTTAACAGTCTCTTAAACATGATAATTGAAAGTGTGACCTATAAATATTGGTTTGATGAATTAATCAAAATGCTGTACAACCCAGCACGAATAAAGTAATATAAATAATACATATTATATAATTTGCTAGACAATAATTTTTTTTTTAATGAAGACAGTTGTATATTTAGAATTTAAAATAACATTTATAAATATTTATATCTTAAAATCATTGTTTAAAAATAAAAACTTAATTACATTTTTGATGCAGATCTACCAGTTATTATCCCATTTGTTATTCCAATCATCTTGAATTGGTTGATATTTTTCAGTTGTTTGATCTGAAGATGATGCATGAGTATTATTAACATCCCAAGACGTCCAGCTGTTTTTACGCTGCACGTTTCTGTTACAAAATAAATACACATTTTAATTGTATTTTAGTATAATGTTAATTCTGGGTTATTTTAATTTAATTTAAAATATCAGTGTTCGACATAAAAAGAATCTACTGTATACATTCTTTGATATTTTATTTAGGTAAATAAATCAAATAATTAATATTCATACTTTTGATTTCCAGATGAGCCATCAGAAATTAAAGAAGAGTTCTCAGTGGAATGTGCTACAAAATTAGTTGAATGTGATTTTGGCGGTGTAGGAATATTACTGCCAGTGATATTTTGCCATTCTTTACGGCCTAAATCGTTTACCTAAATTATAAATAACATAAAAACAATAAGAAAATACAAGATTGAAATTAATAAAATACTAATTTGAATTTGTAACAAAAATAATACTTTACCTTTGTAGACATGGAAGAAAATTGAGTAGATACGTCATCAATTAAAGTACCTTCTTTTATCTAACAATACAGATACAAACAAGCATAACATAAATCATAAAATCGTATATACACTACAAATAATAGTTGAGATTTTATTTTAAACAACATAATAATAATAAAACAAAAAACATTCATAAATATATTATTTTTTAAGATATTTTGGTACTCAAACATAAAAACAATATTAATCAGAAAAAAAGTAAAAAATTTTTTTTAAGTAAAATACATTAAATTTAATATTCAAAAGTAAATACTCGATATCAACTAATGCCATACTATCTAATAAAAATATTCTTTGTTTTAAAATACTATCATATCAAAATAAAATTAATAAATATACATGCTATAAGAAATAATTGCATGCAACTTACCTTTGAGCTTATGTCAGTGGTTATATCTGATACCTTTTGAGTGGCTAGACCACCTATTTTAATGGCACTTTGTGTGGCTTGAGAGGCTAGTTTTGATGCAGATGAGGAAAATATAGACCATCCCTGCAATAATTTTTTTTTTAAATATTTCATTGATTATATATTATTAATTATTAAAAAATAAATAAAAACTATCACTTTGAGATATTTCTAACATGTTATTTGCTTAAAACAAATTGATAAGAAATCCCTCGCCAAAAGATGGAAGATAGTCACCAATATTTTTAATTGTAGACTACTGGAATTGTCTTTTCAGATATCAGTATTACTTCATGAAGTTAAAGGTAAATAGTTAATGTATAGTGGTTTTTAATATATAGACAAGCAGTTTGGCAGGTTGATTAGTTTTATGAGTCATGGCATGTATAATTTTTTGATTCTAAATTGGTTAATACGCTTAATTTTGACTGAACAATTATAATTAAAACATAACTATTTGTAAAAATGTTCGATGGAAAATAATACATTTTAATACGGTGGGTATTTAATTTTTTAGTGTATAACTTACACTAGAAAATGACGACACTGCCGAGTCAAGAAGGTCTTGAGATTGACTTCTTGGTGGTTGTTCAACTGTATTACCAAATCCAGAATAACGTCCACCTTGGTTTGGAGGGACATTACTGTATGAGAAAATCACAAAAACTTTATTTGATATACAAAATAATATGGCTACAAAAAGAAAATATTTTTTCTTCAAACAGAATGCTTATCACTTATTGTCTTAAGACATTTATACTTTATAGTAAGCAAATAATTATAGAGTCCCTTACCTTGGTTTTGTCATGTTTTCATATTGTTTTCTAGCAAAAAATGCTTCTTTTTCATCTTTGATATTTGGAGCGCCAACATCATTTTGATAGCCAGAACTCAATTCATTATAATTATTTGATGGTTCATTAAAATTATACTTTTGTGATTGGGTACCCTTTCTAACAAAAACAAAAATTTTAATGAATGATATTTATGTATTATAATAAACTATAGTTCACCAAATTGCAATTACATTTTCATATGATCTACATTATAATCTTTAGCTGATGACGTAGTAGGGCTCCATTGTTCCCCTTTAGCTAAATTTAAAATCTAGACAGACAAGCGATACTAATTAATGATAGAATATACAATAAACCAAATACCTAATGAATGCTATTAACCTTATCCCGATATAGTGCTGCAGCTTTAGTATTATATTTTTGTTCAATAGTCATTGAATCACTCCAGTCAGGTTGAGATTTGAAAAATTCTAGAGCATTTCTATTACCTCCAACCTACATAATAAAAGTAAAATTTTTAGTACTTCTGTTTTAGTTTAGATAAAGATACATTCACTACTGACATATTATTCAAACATTGATAAAATAAACATACTTTCATTTTTTCCAACTCCAAATCCTTCCAAGAATCCATGGTGATGGATCTGACAAATGACAAATGAACCCCAAGACCTCTGTGTTTTCCTGAACACATTAAACAAATCCATATGCCATATGAGACAGAAGCCCATTGTGGATTATGAGAACCACACTCAAAACATTTCTACAACAAATTTAATTAATACATTTAAATTAATAATTAATTAATGTGGTTCTTACCGAATTATCCTGTTGGTTCATAAGCTCTTGAAGAATTTTCGGAGTTTTGTTTGTTAAATGTTTCATACTCATGGTTAAGAGAAAAAAATGGATAACAAAATATTGAACAAGATATAAGAACAGTTGGTGACAAAAACAGAAATTAAAAAAATAACATACCGCAGATTAAGTTTAAAAATTTTATCAACACTTGTATAATGCAACTAGTGTATTAGATAACATAATACTTAAGTCAAAAACAGTAAAACTCGAGTAGGCCAGTTGTAAGTGATCAATACAAACTCAAGGATGCTTCTTACTAACAACTTCCTATCACTTATTTCCTATAGATTTCCGGTATAACAACCACCGTCCACCAAAAATTAATTAATACTTCACGGCGGGAAATCTTAAGCCTTAACAATAGAATACAAAATAGTGACACTTGGACTTGAGAGTTAAGGCCCTCACCAGTCGCCACTAGTGGTTAGCAGACTGCTGATGCCTATTGGCTATTGCCACTTGCCAGATTGCTTGAATTCAGAATTCCCGATATTAAGCATATGACGTGTCGCCTTTCCTCTTCGCTATCAATAACGTCAGTGGTCGGTTATCACAGTTATCATGGTTCTAGAGGCCGCCCACGCTATCTTTTAAGACCGTGAGGCAGTCAATGATTTCCGATGAGGGGGGTAACTGTTATCACTTACGGACCTTGCCATTAGCAGCTGCAGCAGCTGTTGGTGTTCAGTGTTTATTTTGTATGTTATTATAGCGGTGGCACGATGTAGATAAAATATATATAAAATGTATATAAAATTCTTTTATAATCAAGATTTTCAAGAAGAAAAATTCGATACGTATCGATACGTACCACCACGTATCGAAGTCCGAGTCCGATACGGGTCGGTACGTATCGCTTGTATACTGCACGTGTAACTTCTTGAACGCTCAAAATTGCCTCGATACGTATCGATACACTCCAAATTCTTCCTTGAAAATCTTGTATCTATGATTATAACCCATAGAGTAATTACTCTATGTTATAACCCGAGTTCCTTATCTGGTATAATATAAATATATATATAGATATCTGTGGTGAAACATGTTATCAGTTTTGGAAAAATTATCTTTTATCATTGACCAGTAGCGTGGGTTACCGTTATCAATTTCATTACAAAGCCCCTGCCCCCTATGGTATTCTGTGGTATTGTATGATCTAGGTAAGGACCGAAGGTCGACGGCGGACGGAACGGAACTGCGGAACACTGTCTACACTAGTACACTAAACTGACTACTGAGTTGCAAGGTATTGTGCAAATATTCTTCAATATTTGTATGTTTTGTCGTAAGTCAATAGTTTAACATTATTCAAGTTTAATAGAAATCATTTTTTTCACGATAAACGATCAAATCTTGTCAGGTAAATGGCATTCAGTCGTGCATGGTACCACTTCAAACGTAATTTTTTATCTGTAACATTTCCCATTATTTCGTTTTCTGCAATCTACGCTGATTACAATCGAACATTAAATTGGAAAAAAATACAAAATCAAAAAGTTTAAAGTAAGACATTATAAGTCAAGGTTGTTAAATTTGTGATTTATTATTTATTAATTGTCTACTTATTTGCTTATACTGTAAATTACTCTCCAGTGAAAAATACTTATAAACAACTAGAAGACAATTTATGATATATTCAAATTGAACTTTTCCTTTTTACCGGACACACTTATTTTTGCATTTTATTTTGTTGTATATTAATTTGTAGTTGGCACTCTAAAAACTTTGGCGAGGTCAGAATTTTAGGGTTGTTCTTAGTTTTAAAGTTATGGGCTATAACTATAGCTATTACTTATAGCTAATTGAAACTTATTATATATTCATTTACACACATGGTCAGACCTCAAATAGCTATAATTTCAAAATTAAGTCCCAAGTCCCAATTCTGACTTCACCATCATTTTCAGCATACTAAAACAAAAGAAAATTGTAAAAAAATGATGTACTGTAAAACAGAAATATACCCTCAAATTTGATTATCAACTGTTAAATAAAGAATTAAACATAATATCGTATACTAGTCGTTGCAGTTTTCTATACTTAGCTATAAACATATTGCTAGCACCAAATTTAATTTCCTGAGAAAATATTAGAACTGTATTTAATTCTACATGCATGTTTAAAATATATTTTCATCATTAAATGCTGTAAAGTTAACCAACTCTTTATTTATGCTCGGATGTCAGCAAACTATTTTTTTCTCTCTCTCTGACCCACGTGCATCATAGCAAATCAATGTTTAGCTGAACCAACCCTGTATTGATACTTTTAATATTAGAGTGAATTTACCTATTATTTTACCTAATTTGGCTTTGTTCCAATATTTTCAAATAATTGTAATGATTGACATGTTCATAACTTACTTAAAAATTTAAATATCATAAAAATAGGCAACATAGTGATACAGACAATGTAATTAACTTAATTGTTAATAGGTAAAGTGAACTCATTCTGATATTAATAGTAATAACAGGGTTGGTTCTGTTATCTTAAATTTACTACGTCAAGCTTTGGTTTAGAGAGAATGAACAGATAGTGTGCTAACCTTTAGCTGGTTTTATCTGTCTGCATTGTGTGATGTGGGACAAGAAAAAACTTAAATTATATTTTAACAATGTTCACTATTTTACACTTATTTTTTTTCTAGGAATATTTTACAATGGCAGCTAGACATGCATTATTTGGATTAACCTGGGACTATTTCGCATTGGCTATCCCACTAACTGCTGGTGCCTTATTTGGCAAATTTTTAGATGACAAAGAAACAGAAAGGATGTCACTTTTTAGAGATAGAAGTGCTTTATATGGAGGAATGGTTAAGAAAGGCGAAAAACCATCTTGGCCATAAGTGTGTCTTATTTGAGATGGTACTATTAGTATGAAAAATTGTAATATTATTTAAAATCTCATAATAAATTAAATTATGCTAATGATTATTTTTGTTGTGTATTATAGCTATATAAAATAAATTTATGCAGTTTTTTTGTAATGATAAAATTCATGACATAATTTTTCAAAATGTAATCTAAAAATTTATTTATTTCACTTATTAATAAAAAAAAAACCACAACAAATTAATGAAAAAACTCTGTACCACCTACAATTATATTAGTTGTGTAGTTTTATTGAAATCCATACAAATAATGGTAGAGTGTGCCGTGAGGATTTACCCATTACAATATCTCCTGAAATAGTGGAGATGTCATAGTTCTGGTTTTTGGATAAGACATTGAGACAAGAATTTCAAATATTGTATGGTTTAATTTATTTTAATGATTTGGTAAAAAGTTAAAAAATAAATTTTCAACATTTTACTTTCATTGATCTCCTGATTTTTAAAATATTTTTCTAGTTTTGAGAATTATATAATATTATAGTGGTATCAAACATGTGATGCTTGGTCGTACGGCCCACAAACAGTTTCAGTGTGACCAGCAATTTTCGTTGAAACAAGAAAAAATATTAAAATCAGGTGATTAATGTAAATAAAATGTTTGAAACGTCATTATTTTCAGAAAAATGAACTCCACAAAATGGCCATCTTCAATTTTTTTGAAAATTATATAAATAACTTAACCGAATATTAATATGTCATTAATCTTGTTGCTTACCGATATCAATACATTTATGAGTGAATAAAAGTTTTTCAGAAGTTTTAACACATAGACACAAAATTTGTTTTCATTATTTTAGAAGAATAAAATAAAAGATTTTTTCCAAGTTATAACTTAAGAAAACTTTAAGAAACCTAAACTCTTAATAAAAATGCCACCCACTTACAAAATTTAACATTTGAATAGGCGAAATACACATTCCTGAAGCACCACATAATTGGCTCATTAATAATTTTTTTAAAGCATAAAGAATTAATTATTACAGTAAAACAATTATTGCTGTGGAAATTCAATATTCATAAAAAATATAGGCTGTGCTTCTCCTCCCGCGCTCCACAGCATGAGCCACCTGCCCGCCTCTGGTAATATTTTAATAAATATTACTTAATATTTTTTACTTATTTAGTATCACCATTGGATATAAATAGTATTATTGTTATCTGAAATAATAAACAGAACACAGTGCCATCTAGTTTTAAATGTATTTGTTAATAGACACACATGGCGGTGAAGGTAGCATCAATACAGCATATGGGCTGTAAATGCCATCTCGATATTCTTATTACTGTATTGGTTAAATAGAAAAGTGTTCCAACCTTATCTTTTAAGACCGCGATCGTGATAAAACATAAAATATTTTGTTATTATTCATGTTGCTTATACTTTAATTTTTTAAATATTCTTTACAATGCATTGATTTATATTGTTTGTAACATAATATACTTATTTAATTATTTATTTTAAAATAATGTACTTAGTGTTTATAATTACGCAACTCTACAAATAAATATTGAGTTTTAATAACCAATTTGGTGTTCCTTGTACAGTTTTCTTTACCTATTTAAAAACTATTCTATAGCCCAAAAAAAACTATTTTCTTTTACATCCATTTCTTAGATATACACGCAAATACAAATATGGAGTTGAATCCTATGCAAGTTGCCTTAAATACTGTTAGGACATTAAGATTGGAGCTAATGCAGCTTATTCTTGAAATTGGTGAAGGAGTAAAAGATGATGGTTCACAAACAGACTCAAAAGATAATCGTTATATGTATTCTATGAATGAAATGGTTGGAAAACTTGGACTTCATATGAGGTTTAGTTTGATTTATAGTACATTTTAATAAATGTTAAAATTTAACTTACTTAAATTTAATGGTTTTGTATACATTTTAATTTTTAGGGATCTTGAGCAAGTTGTTGGGTCCTTATCTAGTCCTCCGGGTGCTATGTTATTATATAACACATCATTTTTAACGCAAGAAAGCACATCTGATCGACAAGCATTGTACACTCCTCTTGTGTCTTCTCATAAATGGCTTGACAAAGTATAACAAATTATAGTTAATTATTGTTTGGTTTTAACTAATAAAGTTATGTGATTTTAGGTACATAAATTCAGTTCAAATGCTGTACAAATTTTAAGTCATAATTCATTAAAAAAATCGTATTACAATTCCAGTTCGAATAAGAAGAAAAGACAACAGTCTAGTTTGCATAATATATCACCACAGTAAATGTCTAGTTAGATTCTAATGATTTATAATAATTAAAATTATGTATCGAATAATTATTTTCAGAGCTGTTGATGTACTACTGACTAATATTGATCGGATGTTTCCTGATATGAGTATTACAATAACGAGGCCTTGTGCATCAAATGTTGTTCTATTGGTAATTTTGTTTTAATATTTATTTTCTTCTTCACAATTAATCAAAACTTAAAATAAAATATTATTTTTTTACAATGTTTGACAATATTATGGGCAAAGTGCAACTTATTATTTATACTAATATTTTGTTTTTTCAAAGTGTGTACCTTAAGGCACCGCATCTTGGTGTTTAATTCAATCTTAGTGATTGTTGTTCTTTTTTACCATGCAAGTTACTCCAAAACACATTGTAGTCTCAATAAAAATATGTAAAACCAATTTTTAACTATTTATTATGTAATATTATGTGTAACACAAAATCCTTTGAAAAAGAAAGGGATAAATAACAATGATCTTCTGTTGCAATTTTAACTTACAAAAAATAAAGTTATGCAAATATATTTTTTTAGTTTTTTGATGATCAAACTTAAAATTATTTAGATTTGTTGACATTAAATAACAGTAGATAACAATAATAATTTTCAATAATTGGGGAAACTTAAAGGTAATACCAATGTGAGTAGGATAGTCAAAATCTGATTTTTCTGTCATATTTAGTGTAAAAATTAAATTAAACATTATAAAATGTATTGATACCACTGCGGTTTTTGGCTTAACTGTCAGTAGATTAAAGAGCGACAATTTTTTCATACAATTTCAAATTTAGTGTCTAAAAATAAAACAAAAACATTTTGCATGGGTACCAAATTGCATTGATTCCTTATCAAGTGTTAATAACTAAATAGATAAATAAATATAAAACAAACTTAAAAGATATATCGGTAATTTTATGCAATATTGTCTTATCATAAGTATTTTTCTCAAACAGTAAAATATATTTATTAATAAAATTTTGTTTACATATAGGTTGGCTTAGGTAGAGTTTTACAAGCTATTATATCATTTAAAGGAGTTATGATTGAATGGGTTATTGTTAAAGGATTTAATGAGCCTATTAACCCTAATAGTTTACAACAAGAGCTTTGGCAAGAATCAAGATATTATGTTTTTCGTAAGATAACTGATCATGCTAATGCAGCTATGTTACATTTTTCTTCACCAACATTGCCAGATCTTTCAGTTCGATCATTCATGGTACTATTAAATGAAAACTTTTTTGTTTTAATTAAGAATATCAACATTATTATTTATATCTATGTTTTGTTTACAGACTTGGCTCAATAGTTATTTGATATTATTCAATTCAGTATGTAAAGCATGTGGAAATCGATTGCTTAATGCATACCCACCAACTTGGAGAGATCTACGATCATTAGATACATACCATTATGAATGTAAACCATAATATTATATTTAAATTAATCATTCAAAATATTTTTTAATATCCTAACTTAAGAATAAAATTAATTGTACCTTTATTGAGTAAAATAAATGTAGCTTATGATATTTAATGTGAATACATTACTAAACTGCTTTATGAATAATTCAATGATAAAGTTTTTTTTTACATTCGAATCTTTGATTTTTCTCTTTTTTTTACCTTTTATTATATCTTAAGTTCTTAATTATTGATGTTTTGTCAAATTTGATTAAAATTTTCTCTCATGGTTTTGATGTTGCATGTTACTAGTAACTTTTACTAGTATAGTAGTACGTATTAAATAGTAACTAGTAGTTGTATGAACAGTTTCGGCCTAGCCCAGGTAACTAGGAGACAATTGCCTCAGAGGCTCCAACCAGTTGTTCAAGATGAGTCTTAATAATGTAAAATAAAACAATAGTTCATAAAAGTAGTGTCAGTTAAAGTGAATATGAATTACCTAAAAACACCGATTGTAATAAATTGATATACGCAATAATTAATAGTATTATTATATTTAAACTCCTACATTGTAACTGCTGTTTGCATATATTTAAGTTGAACTACATAAAAGCTGCCAAAAAAGAAAAGTTGTTAATGAATGTTTCTGAGAGGCCCTTTAAATTCCAGACCGATGCGGTATGTTACTATGTTCATTGTAAAGATCTATAATATTATTACATCTTGTAAGGTACACTTCAGTTATAATTTATCATTCTCCAAAAAACTCAATTCTGGTTGGGATTCAACCCCCCTTTAATATTGAGTTGGTGAATAAACGCCACGGGGATCGGGTGGCAGTATTGTGCTGAACGGTTCAAACACGTTTCAAAAAAAAAGGGTTCAAACCCGTACAACATGGAAAATATTTAAATGTACTTTTTATTATATAATATAAATATTATGTAATTATTAGGACTCCAATTTTAATGCATTTGCATCTTTTTTGGAATGTTTTACATAATGCTTTCTAAGCTAAAAATGTATTTTTAATGCATTTTTTATCTATTTCTCATATTATGATTTATGACTAAACAAATTACCTTCATTGAAATATAAACATAGTACTATGTAATATAAAACATTTTCCTCCATTATTTAAATTTCATAATATTAAAGAAGCTCTCATCGTATAGTATAAATGTAATTTATTAAATTTAGTTTTGTGCTCATTTTATATTTATAAACGTATCCACACAATTGTAAATGTTTAAATCATTTTTTAATTTTTTGATTTCAATTTTGAGCCCTAGAAATCATTATGATAACTCCGCTCCTCCCTGTATATTAAATTCCTGACTATGCATAGACCTCATACAGCCATACTACTAGTCAAGGTCTGGGTACCTATAACAACTAACAACATCATTACGAGTGGAGTACCTAATAACATCTTGTTGTGATGTTGGCTGTCTCGACGAAAAAATACAATACCTAATCTATATATATATATATCTATCCTATATTCCTATATACTACTCCACATAGTCAGTGGCACCTAAGTTGTTCCTTTTTAAATTTAATTTTTTATTATTTAAGAAAATTTACAATCTATATACAATTTATATAATAAGTAAATATGATGAGTACAATATTACAGGACATGAAAATCTTGATGGAAGGGAGTGTCCAGTGACACTACTTCCAATTTAAACTTAGGGGAGAGGTAACTTTATAATAAGTAGCACTAGGCGTTTTTGGGTTTGGATGGTTAAAGGTATTTTTATGAAAAAAATGTAATTACTACTTAGTATGTATTATACAATAACAATATTTTTTTATTTTGTAAAATATGAATAATACAAATTTATTTAATAATGTAATTTGAATGAATACACCTAGCAAGGTTGCTTTTGTTTTTTTATGCTAAAGACATTCAGAGGTACTGAGGTATCTCATAGAGACCTATGAGAAAATGAGTGATTTCCTCGTCCTTCAGCCGATTTTCGTAAAATGTAAATGATAAACCTTGAGTGAGCGCTCTACTAATCGAATCAAATGATCAATACAATTATATTTAAAATTTTCCTTCATAGGTATTACATCAAAATGCGTACCGACTTAATATATATAGGGTTTGTCCCATACTGTAAAATAAAAAAAAATAAAAATGAACAGTTAGTAGGTATAGTACATTTTACTAAAATGATTTTAGTACGATATCCGAGAAATACCTACCTTTTTTATGATTTTCGTGTTACAAAAATTATGATTTTTTAAATATTTTTAGCATTTGAAATTTGTTCTATTTGTTTCTTGTTTTTTAAGTCTTAATATTATTTCAAGGATGTAATTCTCAAAATATTTAAAATTTGATACTAAATTTAAAAAAACTGTTTGATAACTATCTACTTACATTTTATTGGAATAATAAAATATTACAATTCACAGTATTACAATAGTAGGTATAAAACAAATAGTGAGGATGGTGCAGTAAAGGTCATGATATTATGTTAGTATTTATTATTGTATTATTCGATAGAATTTTGTCATTTTGGGAATGTTGCAATTAAAATGACGAGCCAAATGCCAACTGCATTTTTGAAGTATTTCTACCACCCAATTCTGTTCTACACGACTGCCCTTCGAAAATTCGAAAATTGTGAATCGCAGTAATCAAGTGATCTTAACTGGTTGTCTCTGGCCAATATTTTTACTTTTAATAATTACTTGTTTTAAACCACGATTATCAATAACGATAGCCAAATAGGTAATAACAGTTTGTACTCAGTTGTTTTATATTATTATATTAGTTAGCACTTACTAAGGCCTCAGAGGCTTACCTATTCAGCATAAGTCCATAGCTGACCAATTTTTTTTTTTTGGAATATGGTGTTACTTTACAATATTATTTTGTATCAAGGAACAAATATTATTGTTCTATGATATTACATACAAATTAATTCAGAACTTAAAAGTTTTTCCATTTGATGTATTGTATATAGTACAATATATTCTATTATTTCCTTATTTTTGATAGTTCTTTAATAAAAATTTTTTTCTTATCTCTAGGCACAAATTCTATATTTCTAATTCTATTGTTCTAAATCTGTCATAAAACAACATTGTATCCATGACAAAATATCTATTTTAATAATAATAATCATAATAATCTATTTTGTCATGATTGTATCACAAAATAATTATTCATTTATTTATTATTCACATATTTAATTATTCTGTGATTGAATTACGTTGTTATCATATTTTGTACTTATACTTTTGTATATAACATGATAAAACATCATACGGTTCACGGATGATGGGATCACAATTCCCAGTTGATAGTAAATAAATAGTTATAATATGCATGACAGAGTATAGGCACAGAATAATCTGTGGTATAGGTACTTTGTCATGATAATATGAATATAATAACATAGTGTACCTATACATAGGTAAGTTTTCATCTTTTTATATTGTAATCTTAATTTTATTTTCATATGTTTGACGATTATTACTTACATCAAATCTTACATATTTATTATGTTTATGAAGTGTTTCATTTTTGATTCTTAAAATTAAAATTAAAATTACGAACTCGATTTCAGTGTGGCCCACTAACTATTTATACCCAAGTAAGTTCTATTGTTCATTTAAAGTATCTGGTACCTTAAAACCTATTATTGGAATTCCTTGTAATAATAATTGAATATAATTAGTAGTTTTTGGGGAGCCACTGATAGCTTGGTTCAGCTCGTACCTTTTCAAACGAATACAATATGTAAAAATTAACAGTGTTTGCTCTTAACCAAGGAATATAACATCGAGTGTTCCTCAAGGTGGGCGTCTGTTTTCGGTCCTCTTCTCTTTGGCTATAAACAGAATTGAAAATTTCCTAAGACATGGTCAATTACTCATGTTTGTTGATAATATAAAGTTTGTCCATCATATCAATATCCCTCAGGATTGCATCCTTCTTCGAGAGGACCTCAACTCCTTCGTCACTTGGGCTGAAACCCACTGGTTAGATCTCTGTATCCCTAAATGCTCTTGAATGACATTTTCTCGTTCTCATAGTTGTACTATTAATTTTAACTATTCTATATCTGGTGTCCTTGAATCTGCTGGTGAGTGCGCAAATTATTAGGGCTTAACGTTTGATTGCCGTCTTAAGTTTATTGCTCACATAGTCGAACATTTTTGTAAAGCCTTGAAAATGTACTTCATAAATAAACTTGAGTATGGAGCTGTAATTTGGTGGCCAACAACCATGAGTGACAGTCACAAACATGAAAGAGTCTAACGCAAGTTTCTGAAGTGCAAATCTGTCAGCTTATTAATTGATTGTCTACCACATGACTATAATCCGGTACTTTGCCACCTGGGCTAGATCACTCTGGCTGATATGCAAGTTTAAACAAACCTATCATTTTTTTCAAAATCTATTTATGGTTGAATTGACTCACCTGTTCTACTAAACAAGCTCAATTTTAGAATTTTTGATTTTAATTCTCGTAGAGTCATCCCCTTTTGTTCTGTGAATTATTTGCAAACCAGTCCTTAATCACCAATGATGAGAATAGTGAAAGAGAGTTCGTTGTTTCTATTGGGGGACTTAACCTGTTTCTATTTATGTAATTTGTATCACTATATTGTTGCTTTTATAATTTATACTGTTATATACTTTGGCTTTTAGTAAATTATCTAAATTTGTATTGGGCTATTGTCGTTTTATTACAATAAATAAATATGAAGTTATTATTACTTAAATCATTTGCATAGTATGTTGATATAATTTATTCAATTACAGATAGTGTAAAACAGTCATTTTCATCTCGGTTCAATAAGTTATTTTAATTTTTGGTTTAAATACCATTCCACCAGATTTTTCCTATGTTAATTTATACATTTTAATGTGCTTCAGGAAGATAAATACTAATTCAAAATGATCCGAGTTGAAGAAAGTCGTATAAAATCATATCTAACCATGGTAAGTCTTAAAATAAAGTTTTTATTATAATAATATATTGTGGTACATCATAAATATTAAGAAATACTACTCTGTTATAACTTATAGATATTACACTTTTAAATGATAAATATCTCATATCATGCTTACTGTTTAACTGAGCACTCAAAAAATAGTAAATTGTGTATCATTTAACTGTCCATTGTACTAATAATGTCAACTATTATTTATTAATTGTTAGTTACTTTTCAGGCTTCCAAACATAAGTTTAGAACGCCTTATATCTCCATTGTGTCCGTCTATCTGTTACGATTAAGTTATTTATTAATAGTCTGTGGACTAGTTACTGTACATAGTTATGATTGCTTTGGTGTATTGAGATTTTACAACAGCGCTATTCAAAGTAAATTGATACTAGCCAGTTAAAAAAAAAAAACATTTGAGTATTTAATATAGATTCATACTAGCCAATATTAAACATATTGGTACCAAAATATAAAAGCACATTCAAACAGAAAGTAGGCTTACCGTGCGGTCTCTGTAAAATATTACAACTGGATAGCTGACTGCCATGTTCCGCGGACCCGTCTGTCACAACAGCCCGCTTGCTGTTTGACTGCACTTTAAAGGTTACAAAATTATTTTTTATTTTTACATGGAATTACAGTTTATTGTGTTGTGTTAAAATATATTTAAAAACTGAGAGTTCAGAATGCTCACAGAGTGAATTTTTCTAACTTGTTTATCATTTACTTTTAATTACTCTTTTTCTAAAACAAAATATCCTTTTAAGAAGCTATAAAAAGGTATAATATACCTAAGTGTTAAACTGTTAAATAATAATGTGTACATTTTTGATTAAATACTTTTTTTTATTAGCTTTTTGTAAATGATTAAGTATTTATTTGAAAAAAAAATGTTTGTAACTTTTTAATCATTGACAGCTGAAGATGGAATTTTTGTTAAATTAAAAAACTTCTAATATATTGTAATTTATAATAATCAAAAAACTGTTCATTCACAAAATTTAAGGAATTTAAAAATTGACAACAATTACCTAGTGCAATATATAATGTAGATACACAACAATGAATATATTTGTTACATATTATAATATATTTAACCATATTTTATGAATAAATAATTTATTACAATAGTTTATTGTGTAGTAATACTTTAAGACATAGAATTAAATTAAATTATATTATTTTATATTTGTTTGTACATTTAATATTTTATCTTTATTTTATTTCAGTATAAATTTCCTGAAAATACAAAAAAAGAAATTATAAAAACATTAAATTATTATCATGGACTCATTTGTAATTTTGAAACATTTTGTAAGTTATTTTTATCTTATTTGTGTTTTATAATGTAAATTCTTAATAAAATTGGATCGAACTGCTCAACGTTCATTAAATCTGACTGAACATCCAAAATTCAAAAGTCAAACCTAATTTTAAAAAACTGAAACAAACTCTATCAAAAAGTTTAAAATTCAATAATTAATCTTCACTTAAAAGAAATGTACGGACTTCAATAAAAAAAATTGGAATATATCATAGTTTTGAACAAAAATGTTTTATATTTTGGTTTAACATACAAACTAAAATGTTTGGTTTGTAATTTAATTCAGTTTGGTATTAAATTATGGTTTTTTAAATGTTTAGTAAAAGTTCGGTTCGATTTTCAATATATTGTTCTGTTTGACATACAACTTAACAGTTTGGTTAGGCATAATATTATTAGGTTCAGTTTGAAACCATATTTTTGAGTTCGACCCCCCTCTAATTCTTCCATATAAATTTCAAAAAATAAATTATAATAAACATTTTTTTTTTTGCAGTGTTCTCAAATAGAATTGAAAAGAAACTAGTTAATTTGAGTGGTACTGTTCCTGTTACATTTAAAGGTGACTACCAATAGTTTTAATTTATTATTTTGTAAATGTAATATTGTTATAAATATAAATTATTATCTAATTTTACTTTAAAGGTACCACTTATCACATTCCAATTTGTATCTGGCTCATGGATACACATCCAAATAATGCACCAATCTGTTATGTGAAACCTACATTGGATATGCGAATTAAAATGTCAATGTATGTTGATCATAATGGTAAAATTTATTTACCATATTTACACAATTGGACTCCGGTAATACATTAAATTATAATTATACTTAATCTGTGCCAATTTTAAATTACACATGGTATACCATTTTAGACAACATCCAATCTTCTTGATTTAATTGGAATAATGACAGCAACTTTCTCAGAAACTCCACCTGTGTATTCCGTTGTTAGAACTGAACAACCTGTAAACCCTGGTTATCCTACTCAAATGCGTAAGTTTAATTTATAATATGTTTTTTACTTATTAGTTTTGGTTGAAAATGTGTAAATATTGTAACTCATACTTCAATCAAAGTTACTAGATTCATCAATAGTCTGTGTATGCGTGTCTAGTCCAAACTACCTAATTCATTTTAATGTATTTTTTTTAATATTGAAACAACTATCAAACTGTAAAAATTATATGAAGTATATATTTTCATAATTATTTCATTAAATTATAATCGTAATACTTTATCAATTTGCAAAGGAAGTATGGGCTTGTTCAATTATTTTTTTTTTTTAATTGGACTTAGAATAGATCAGTATTTTGTTTAACCATGTTATTTATTATTTTTATAACTTGAAGACTATTGATAACTGGAAAAATAAATTTATTTTATCTAGCTAAAGAAACAAAATTATAAATTTTGGCCACCTCAGAAATAATGTAATTTATGTAATCGACTATACCCCCATTTACATTAAGAAAGAATGTCGGTAATTGACTTGTGACTTGTGCATAATGACGTGGCTTTACTACATGGTCGATGTACAAACATATGATGTCCATGTACTCTGCCAGACCATTGCCAATTAAATTTGGTCACCACTGAGGTTCCTTCTTAATGTGAATAAAGTATAGACTTATATATTATTATTATTATTAATCGTTTACATGTGTGCATTTAGCATATGGTGGCACTGGTTCGAATGTGATGTTGCCATATTCTTCAATACCAACATCGTCTACTGCTACTTCAAATCCTTCCACGGCGTACCATGGAAGTTCTAATACTCCTTATCCTCTGTATAATAATCAGTTTCCAACACCTTCTCCCTATCCAACGGGTTCTGCAAATACATCAAATTTTCCTCCCTATACTGCACCATATACAACACAAAACTCTTCTCAAAACTGTCCATATCCTCAGCAACCTGCACCTATAAGACCAGAATATCCTCCTTACCCATCAACTACTAGTAATTTGCCCAATCCTTCTACAGGGGTAAGATTATTTTTTAAATTTAAATTTATACATTTATTATGAAAGTATAAATAAAAAAAAAATCTTAAAACAATTGTAATTTATATTGTTGTATTATACACAAAATAATTATTATTTATTTCTTATAACTTTTCTGTAACATATGGCAATAAGAAAATCGTTAAAATACTTGACTAAATGATATATGTGCAAATAAAAGATATCAGACATGATAAAATATGAAATAAAATATTTATTGTGCCTTTGTGTATAATACAGTGAAACCTTTATAAAGTGGACACTCTCAGGGAATTTAAAGCTCTCCACTATTAAGAAAAGTTTTGAAATGTTCCTGTGTACAATATTTAATTATTACATGTTATGTATTATTTTATTTATTTACATTAAAAGTAAAATGTATTCAATAATTTATTATTTTTGGAAATATCTATTTATTATTTGTTATTATTCATTGTACATAAGATACCGTCGTATCTATAGTGTTGTGTGTAGTATTTCGGTCCACTAGACAACGTACAAATAATATTTTAAAAATTCTTCGTTTTGATTAACTTAACTTATCAAGTATGACAATAATTATAATAAATTAATTTTTATATTAATGGTAAATTAATTATATTGTATGGAAACAAAAAAGATATATTAATTTTTATCATCTAGTTCTGTCCCTTAATGTGAGGTAGATTTAAAAATAAGGACCTGTTTACATTATCCACTTCCACTTTTATAGTGTGTCCACTTCTTAAAAGTTTTACTGCTTATATATATTTTATACAATATCTACTAATATGCTATATTGTGCATCACAGTTATGTTGATTTTAAGATTTTTCAGCCACATTTATTTTCCTTGTACATTTATTACTTTAGTACTTCATAATAATAAACATTATTTATGCATTTGTGTCAACCCATAGTTGAATGATGGTGGTACGATAACAGAAGAACATATCAAAGCCTCTTTGTTATCTGCTATTGAAGATAAAGTACGAAGACGCTTTAACGAACAAATGGCCCAGAATAAAGCCGAATTAGATATATTGCAACATTCTCAAAGAGAATTATCACTTGGAAAAAATAAACTAGACTCTATTCTGACAAGTCTTAATAGAGAAAAGGTATACAGATATTCATCTTATTTAACATTTTCGGTGTTGTGTGTATTTTTTTGATGTGCTAATACATTCAAATACTTTTTTTAGTCTGAGCTAGAACAAAATATTCAAGTGTTGCGTGATAAAGAATTAGAACTTGAAATGGCTATTTCCAAGTTATCTAAAGAAGATAATATTGATATTGATGATGCTGTAACAACAACTGCACCTCTTTATAAACAGTAAAAAAATACATTTGTATTCTGATATGAGTTACTAATTATTTTATTATTATTAGGATATTAAATTCATTTGCTGAAGAAGCTGCTACTGAAGATGCAATTTATTATATGGGGGAAGCATTGAGAAGAGGTGTGATTGATTTAGAAGTATTTCTGAAACAAGTACGTTCACTTTCCCGTAAACAATTTATGCTACGGGCTTTGATGCAACGATGCAGGCATAAAGCTGGTCTAGTAGCTTAATTCCAAGAAAATGTACTAACAAGCTACTAGATAGCTTTTACAAAATATTATGTTTCATTTCTGCAGATAAGTAAAATTGGGTAAAACAGCATTTTTGGTATATATTATATTATATTATAATACATATTACTTCTGTTAACTGTTACAAAGAGATCAATAATATGCTAGTTTTTGTTAATCTCATATTACATTTTATAAACCCAATAATTTTATTTCAATAATTTATTCTTAATATATTATTACTATAATAATAACTGCACATTATAATATGAGATTATGTGAGTTGATATTTCATTCACTGTGTCTTTAAAATACATTTTTTTTTCATTTTAAATCCTTTATTTCTTATTCTTGAAGCTTTAATATTATCAATTTTATATTTTATCATGATATTTTGTTGTAAGTTAAAAAGAACATTTCATGTATACAATACAAAATTAAAAATACAAATATAATTTTATTGAAGTTATAATTATTGAAATTTGTATTGAGTTATAAATTATATTATTAATTGTATAGGTCATATCCACAAAATGTATTTAATTTTAAATTTATTGTATTTGATGTAATTTGGGTGTATTCCATCAAATGTCTACTTATATCTTTAATAGTTTTTGTATAAATATTTAAATATGCAAAAAAAAAATAGTTAAATTATAATAAAGTAATCAACTATGATAGCCAAAGATATGTGATATCCCTTATTTTATTAACAAAAAATGAAACAATGGGCTTACACATAATGTTAATGTGAATATGACCTAAAAAAAAATTATTAGTTGTATTAAATATTTAACACTTATTTTAGAGATATTTTAACCAAGTGATTTTATATAAGTATTGCATATTCATAAAGACTTAAGCATCTAAGAAATGATACTACTTTACTCATATTTGGCTCATTATATTTTTAATTTGATTCATACAGTTGAATTTGCCATATATAACGATCATTAAATTATTGTTTTAGATTATTATACTTTAATATATAGAGGTCAAATAAACCAATATATATATTTTTTATTTTATCGGTTTTTAAATTCTTCTGAAAATCCTAGTTCTCAAGTTCCCTAGTCCACTACATATAATTTTTTTTTTTTTTAAACTGAAGCCCCCGGTCTTTATTAGTACCATCATATATCACTTATACTTATCTTAGAATACTTGCTTTGTACAAAAATTAAATGGACTACCGGTCATGCCACATGTTATGCTCCATTTTTTTTTTTTTTTATGATTTAAATAATAATATGTATAGGTAATTAGTATTTTAAATTGATAACTTGATTGTTGATTTATTAAATATTTCCCAGAGTACATCTATCAATACATCTTATATTCTATAGACACTAAACAGTGGCGTGGTGATTGGTGTTTATCTAATGCTATTAGGCCAGTCTTAAAAATACAATGGATATGTTAGCCATATGATATTACATAAATGCTATTTTTTATACTATAGGATTTGAAATGTTGTAACCACATCACTAATACTAGGGATAATACTTATTTCATTTACTTACTAGTAATAAACAAATAAGTTAATACTTAAGTATTTAAAATATTAAAAGCATCATCTATCATTGAGATTTTGCTGCTACAGGCAGTACATAATTTATAATTTATAATTTAATACCAATAAAACTAGTAGTCCAGATCTATTATATGTCGGCTTTAGTGCGGTTAATTTTTGCACAGCTGGTAGTCCACTAGTCATAAGTACAGTAACTGTTAATACTGAATCACAAATGCGTGCTATAATTAATACAAATTATATGCTGAGAAAAAATTATTTGAAATTATTAAATTAATACAATTTCAGATTTCGACACATTCATAGAATACTAAAAATCCTTATACACAACGGTGAAATATAATATTATTGTTTGAGGGGGTTGGGACTGACAGTTATTTTAGCCAAAACATACCAATATTTTGTCCATCATACTGTTCGACCTGGTAACTCAATAATACTTTTTTGAACTGATTTTAACTTGTTAACTTGTCTACTTGAGATCGGTTCATAGAGTAACAGTTACTCTATGGATCGGTCAGTCCACTTTTCCCCATTCCCGCTCCCCTCCTAATCAACGAGTACACATTTAGTTTGAATATTTTGAAATTTCTGAATTTTTAAACGTTGATTATTCAAAATTTCAATCAGAAAATTTTAAAATGTGGACTGACTGATCTAAGTAATCGTTATAACAAACTCAGATTAGTTTTCTGAAATATCCCATTATTGATGGGCCAATTGATAAGATGGACAAAAATAAAAAATTACACGCAAATTAGCATAAATTGTTTACCGTTCGGGCTCACAAAGACGAGGCAGTTACTTATTCAGTTATATATGCACGTGCGGGAGTTATCTGCTATTTCTTTACTAATGATCACTTACTAGGCGTCTAGGCTCACATGCCTGCATTTGAAAATTGCCTATTTCAAACTCCTTAAAAACTGCAACCAATCCCTTACATCAAGCTTTAATAAGTATGTATTATGACTGTACATAAAACTATATATTCATGGATAATACAAGAGTCTTGTAGTTACTGTTCTATATTTAGATATGTATTTGTTTTTATATAATTTTTTGAAGGATTAAATATATTTTAATACTTATTCACAAGTATTTCAAAAATGATCCCATGTTAGTACCAACAATGGTTGTTGCATAATAATGAGATTGTATTATAGGAAAACAGTTTTGGACAGGACAATTTTAATGATACATTATTTACAGTTGATTTACCAACTGGCAATCGTTCACAAACGTGACTATCTGTTTAGTCATGGCAATACCCACGTATTAAGAAGAAACCAAAAACATGTTTTACTTTGCTTGGTTACTAGATTTTTTTTTAGCTTAAATAATATTATCAATAATTATGATTAAAATGTATGATTTTTAAATATCATATTTCTTATTTTTGTTTCAAATAAATATTATATAGTATCCAAACAGTTGAAATTAAAAAATGTTTAAGTGAATTATGAATGGTTTCAAATATTAATATTTTACAAACTCATAACTCATTTATAAATAACAAAATAACAAAAAAAGAACACAGATAATGCTCTTATATTTAATCAAGTGTTTGATAGTAAGTCAAGTCAATCCACTCTATTATTTAAGCTAACAACCCACAATGGAAATTGCTGGTACATTGGTTTTGATATATTATGTGTTGATAAGACGGAAACAACAAATATGGATATGACGTCCTCTTAATAAGATCTTTAATAAATTATTGTATCAACTGTCAACAATATGTAACAGGAATTTAAAATAGTCTTGAAAATATAGGTATTCATAATCAATCACCTCTTTAAAGAATAAACTGTATAATGAAAACTTATCACACAATATTTTTATAGTACTTTTATGCCTAATCTATGCAGGCATTACTATTAATAAATAAAAATTATGTTATGAACACATTTATTATATTTTTAAAAATGAAAACAAAAATAATTTATAAAGAAAGTAGTTTCAATTGATGACAGGCATAAATAGGGATTTAAATTATTATACAATATTTACATAATTTAATGTTTAATAACAAGATACATTTATCTATATTTCACACACTCAAATAGTATGGATTATATGTAAAAATATTGTTTTATTGCGTATAATAACTCAAAATAATGTCTATAAATTAGGTGTTGGAAAAAATGAAGTAGTAATAATAATAATAATAATAATAATGCATTATACATATATTCCAACCCAAAGTAATAAGAACAGAAGACCAAAGCCGGTAAATAAGGCAGCAACAAAAGATATGGTCAGTTCTTTTTTCAAATTTCTGGTATACTTTGTACCAGTTACTTCATAGACGAAAAACCATGCCGTGAAAAACACACCAATGCTGAGCAATAACAATGTGAGGTGTGGATAAACTGCTGGGCTAACTGGAGACACATACCGCTTGTACAGTGTCATTGTGCTAAACAAAAATAACAAAATTCAATATATTTCCAGGAACATAACACAACACTATGTAATAATAATATACAGGAACGCATATTCTGAGATATAGTATTATTGTTACAAGAAACGTTTTAAGTTCAGTATAAGACATCCAAGCAAAACTTAATCCTTCATTTTTTCAAAATTGAAACACTAAGACCTATTCAATTATTACTAAGTCAGGCCAAATTATTTTTCATTATTGTATTTATGTTTCTTTAAATAGGTTCTAGATCCACATATTTATGTGTTGAATGTGCATGCTCTTGAAAAAATGTAGGAATCAATTTTTTGTTATACATAAACAAAGAAAACAAAACAAAATAAAAGCAAATAAAAATAAACAAAATTTTATTTAAAAATATACAATTATTCTACAACATTTGGGAAATAATCATAGTATAAAATTAAATTTCCTAAACATATTAAATAAAATTACATAAAAATAATGCATTTTCTATAGATAGTTAATGCTTAGTTATAAATGTAAAAACAGTGAAAATATTAGCTACAAAATATGTTGAAAGATAGTGAAAAGAAAAAAAAAACCTATACATTTTGATTTAAGTAAAATATCATTGTATCAATAAAGATTTATCATTTAAGACATCAACCAAAAGCTGTTTGTCATGTAGTACATCATCAACTTCATTTTTATCCCAAAGTAACAATACTTTAGATAATCTATTTATACTCTGTCCAAGAATCTTGATTACACCTCTAGTTTCTAATAACGAACACATGGTTATGAATTCGCTTAGATCCCTTACTTGAATGTTGCGTTTCTTACAAATAGTTGTAAAAACATTAAATACTTTTCCTATGGTAATTACTTGACTTTTTTTACCAGACGATAGTAACAATAACAATGCGCATACCACCAATTCTTGCTGTAATGGTAATTTTTCAGAATTTTCATCATCATTATCAAGTGCACCAGAAGTGGAGTACACATTATTCAACACAGCTATAACATCATTCAATTCAATTTTTTTGTCAATTTTATCATCTGCCAACTCAATAACTCTTCTGGTAACATCTAATGCATAACGTATATCTCCTCGGAAAGAAGCAATTTTTGCAGATAAAAGCTGAATTGCATTGGCAGGGAATATTTCCGCAACTCCCGCATTTTCTAATCTATGAGATATAATACTAGCTAACTCTGTTTTAGTATAAGGTGGAAAATTTAGAAGTTCTGGTTGTAAAGAAACCTTAGTCTTTAACATTGGCAATAATCGATCAGTAAGATCTAAAGAGTTTGCAATCCCTATGACAACTATATTTGATTGAGGAATGATAGGCCACTCAAATATTTGATACAATATTGATTGATTTTTAGACGACAATTGATCGATTTCATCAAGTACCATGAGAATAGATTTATGCTTAGTTTTTAAGTACTGCTCAATGGTCGAAATGCATTCTCTTTGGGTACCTGAACCGATTTTTAGAATTTCGGCGATTTTGGCATATACACGGTTTGCAGATTTGATCATACTACAGTTCACATACACTGTGGTAAAGTTGTCTGTCACTAAATCGCTGGCAAACAATGATTGAAGTGACACCGTCTTACCAGTACCCGGTGGTCCGGAAATGTACATAGAAACCGAGCGGTGGTCTTTGACGTGTTTTTTCAGAAACGATTTTAAACACTCTTTATGCTTCTCTCTCCCAGGCAGTGAATCCGTGTAACCGCTGTGTAGATTCAACAGCGCCTTGCCAAAACTCGATTTCGTATGACTGTCGGTCATTTCACGGAATCAACGGAACCTTGGTCGGATGATTAAAAAAGACCCGATTTCGTCAGGCAAACCGAAAGTGTTAAACGAACTGTCGAACAAATCGCGGAAAAGCTAAGAGGCCAAAACAAAAGAAACGCCGGTAACGAGAACAAAATGCAAAAACAGTGAATGATAGTAAAGTATGATTAAATAAAAAAAAAAACCGATTTACCTCGTAGAGTCCGGCACAGTCGTTGTCGATAGGCGAATTCCGTTCGGTTTTAATTTCTTCAGGAGGGTGGATTCGACTCTATTGTCGTTAGTCGGCTTTTCGCGGTGGTAATCCCCCTACAGTTAAATATAAAAATTAAAATAACAATTTATTTCGCGTGTATGGCCACGACTGTGTATACGGTGTGTATACGTATCAGCAGATAAAAGTTGGCAACGAAACCCACGCTGCCGTGCGTTGTTGTACCTATATGAACGTAGCACCGGGTTTCCGCCTTTCCGGTTTTTTTTTTTTTGTAAACAAAATAAACCGAATCAAACTACAAACTGCAATCTGCATAGTGCATACACGCGTTGGTACGACGTCGTCGGTGTATTGACATTTTACGATAATAATATGTCGATATGACAAATAACAATTAATATTAATGACAAATAAAAGAATTATGTATGTGTAGAGTAGATACAATTTCAATGGTATTTGATTTTGTGACATTTGAATTTCATCGACATTTCGATATTTGAATAATTTCATCTGTTCTGTGATAGTACTAGATATTATTGTTGTAGGTATATTTACTACACACAACAAATACAACAATAATAAATACAATATTATTATTATAGGTCATAGGAGTATAATGGAGTGGTTGTGGTGGTGGAAGGATTCGGAGGAAAAAAAACAAAATATGTAATTAGTGGTTCATATCGCGTTCAAGTCTGGCTTGTGCGTGAGTGTGTGTTTTGGGTCCCGTGATATCACTATATCAGCGCCGACGGATGACGACCCTAATATCCTATGCGTCTGCGTTGTTGAATTCTTAGGACGGTTTATTTTTTTTTTGCGTGATCGTTCAGTCGTTGTCACTCCGTCTGCTCACGTACTACTGCCTACCATGGCCTACATAGCAAAATGCTGCTGACATCTGAGATTCGTCGACGTCTCACACGGCACGACACCGCGGCGTAAGATGTACGTACTCAATCTCCATTTTGGCGACAATAGTTATTTTCTTCTATAACTTCCCGTGCAATAATCTATTTTTCCTCGTTTAGCAGAGGACGGAACGATACACCACAGTCGTGACAGACAGTGCGCGACGGCCATGAGAAACATTTGTCGGTGTGATGAATGAGGACGAGATAGCCGATAAAGTATACGAGGAGAGAGAGAGAATTGTCGATCTGTACAGGAATGGACCCGGAGACGGAACTATCATAGATCCTGTTGACGATCCCGCTATAAACGACTATTTCAAGCTTGACAGATTTGGGTTCATAGTAAGGTATGTACCCTACTACCTTTACAATATTACCATAAGTAATTGGTTTTGGTTCTAATTATTCGGAATTTATTTCCCAGCGATGAGTCAAAATTGAAAAAAGAAGATCCTCAAGAGATAAAAATAGAAGTAACCAGAGAACAAAAATGGCTGAAAATGATCTCAAACTGGGATAGTCTGTCCCGAGACAAACTGAAAAGACGTGTTTACAAAGGCATTCCAAATTCATTACGAGGTAAAGTGTGGGCCAAGCTATTGGGTGTTGATCAACTCACAGATGATCAGAAAAATAAATACAAAGTAACTATATATTATTCAGCATAAATATATTAATTAGTATAAAATATTTATGTATAGGTAGTTATTATTGTTTTCAATAATCTATTTTGTATCTTATAAAATATTTTTCAATGAATTAAATTATTTTTAATATTTTAATATTTAAATTTAAAGTTATTTAACCTGTAATAAATATTGTAACTGCGACATTACTAATTATTTGTTTTACATAGCATATGTGTGAGCTGGCATGGGAGCATTCACCGGATGTGAGACAAATTGATTTAGATGTGAATCGAACATATCGAGAACATATCAACTTTCGAAAACGGTACAATTTCAAGCAACAAGAATTATTTAACATACTGTCTGCATATAGTATCTATAATTTGGATATTGGCTATACCCAGGGAATGTCACAAATTGCAGCACTACTGTTGATGTATTTAAGTGAAGATGAAGCTTTCTGGGCATTGTCTACTCTTATTTCCAATAGCAAGTATTATATGCATGGTGAGTTTAATATATTAATAAACAGTAAACTTTCCGTAAGTTAAAATCTATAATAAAATTGATTTATCTTTTTACCAAACAAATAAACAATGTATAAATCGTTGTTTTGATATATCAAACTTTTTTTTTTTGTTTACCTTAAAATTATAGTTACCGATAGTTGATTGTGAGTGCGAATAATTTAGATCAGCGGTTCTCAAACTATGATATGCCTACCACTGGTGGAACACTTAAGGCCACATAGTGGTTCACAGTAGGCAGTATGATAGTAGTACAGAAATAATATTTTCACTTATGTTTGTAACGTATCTAATATTATAATAAGATTTATGTAAATAGGTACTAAAAGCACTGATAAATGTACCTATACTCTGTGAGTCTATCCAGTGAGAGAATGATTAAAAGAAACGGGATTTTGCGCATCCCAACTCGACACCCTGCCATCGATACTGGTTCCACTATGGTAGTATCGAGTTGGGATGCGTGGAAGAACCGACTTTTGTTGAGATGCGGTGAGTTCTATTGCTGGACAGAGTATTAATTATTATTTATATGAATTTTTAAAAGGTTAATTAAATGTTGAATAGTTCTATTTTTAGTTATTTGTGGTACATAAAAGACCCACAATACACATGAGTGGTATGCCAAAACAAATTTTGAGAACCTCTGATGCAGATGATTATATGAATAATTATATTAAAATCTTAAATAAATAACACTTGGATTGAAATATTTTAGGCTTTTTCATACCTGGTTTTCCTAAGTTAATACGGTTTCAAGATCATCATGATAAAATAATGAATAAGTTGTTACCAAAATTAAAAAAACATTTGGATAAAAATGGAGTTGAAACTGGATTATATACATTAAAGTGGTTTTTCCAATGTTTTTTGGACAGAGTATGTGCATTAATTAATTTATCTATTTTAGTTATTTTATAGTTAAATATAAATTATTATAATTTGTTTATATTCAATGTTAAGATACCATTCAAATTGACTTTGAGAGTGTGGGATACATTTTTACTAGAAGGCGACAAAATATTATCAGCTATGGCCTATTGCTTATTAAAATTACACCGCCACCAGCTCTATGCTTTAGGAATGGATGATATACTTAATTTTTTGCAGGTGAGTTACAAAAATCATAATATTTTTATTTCAAGTATGATATAGTATACTATATGTCTTACAATTTAGATCTATGCTACATTATTTTTAGTGCACAGTTTTAGAATTTATCTTGATTTACTATTTACATTTTACATATTTAATATTGTCATTAATTTTCAATCAATTGAATTAAAATTGTCCTTGATTTGGTTTAACCATCAACCAAATGTTTATCGACATAAATAAAATAAATATTTACAGAATAAATATTCATTGTTAAGCTATTTGATAACATATACAACTAATTGGTTTTATCTTTTATAATGGTTGAATATTATAAATATGTATACAAGGTGTAACAGAATGACCAGGCAAATAAAATAACTTTTGTTATGTTCAAAAATAAAAACACTTTTGTATAATTTATTGACAATTGCACCACAAGCACAGTATAAAAAAGTTATTTTTTAGGAAAATTTGATTAATAAAATGCTTATATATGTAAAGTAGTTTATTTTTTACACATATTTTAAATATCAATATGTTTTTTGGAATAAATTATTTTGAAATGTAATAACTTTTTCAAATTATTCACTTTGGGAATTTTCAGGGACAAGTAAATCTTAAATTATTAACTATCTATATAATTTTTCCAATTTTTGCTTGTGTCAACTAGTATTAATTATATATTTGTCCGGTTTTTCTGTTACACTGTAACCTGTACATTGTTTTATTTATTTACATATTTAATGGGTATTTGTAAATGATTAGGTAAAATTGGAACAAAATTATGTACATACAGCTGATCATACAATTGAAAAACTTCAAGAATGTCTTGCCGAGCTGAAAAAATATAAACTTGACAATGCTGGTCAGCCATCTCCAAATGAAAGGTTGAAAAGAGAGCTTGGAATATTTAATCCTGATGATATCCCTGTTAGAAAGGTACAACCTGTTTGTGTCAATGATTATTTTTTAATGAAATACAAATTTAATGTATGTTGAAATTAGTTATAATTTTAAAAATGTTGTTTCAGCCTCAAATCAATGGAGTGGAAAAAAAAAGGAAACCCATTAATGCCGACCAGATTCATAGTTCACCTGAACAGGATTCACAACGCCAAGGTGAGTGGACTAGATTGTGAACACTTGCCTGATGATATAATTAAACCTATGGTGTCTATAGAAACTAGTCTTCCATTTAATGTTAATGCACAAATCATAAAATTATTTGAATTTATTTAGGATATCTTAAGAAACAAAAATCGCTTTCATTATTTTTAGTTAAATATTTTATTTAATACAGCATCAACTTGTCGTGATAGTTATTTATTTGTAGACATTTTAAAGATATTTTTTATGATTAATTTTTTTAACTTTACCATTTGCTTTTTGTAAAATAACTAATATTTTTGTTAATTTTAGTTTAAAATTATTTATTATTATACCTTTTATTTAAATAAATATTGTAAACAGATGTGTTGTTAGCTTTGTTAAATGTGTATTAAACTGTTAAAAAATAATTCATATGTCTAGTTATCTGAATATTTGTTGGAATTAGTATTGTTCCTTTGAAAAAAAATATGTTCAAAAGCAATAGTCTTAACTTGTTTATATTATGCATATAAATTATGGAGTCCAAAATTGAATGCAATTAATTTTCATGTGCAAACACAAAATTGTTATTTCTGTTAATTGTTTATTTTTGAGTGCAATTTTACTACAAAACTTTTTTCATAATTATTCTGTAGGCTTACTAAGGCTTACTTATTTATTGTAAATTTATGTATAAAATATTTTACTACTATTGCGTTTAATATTTATTTTTTATCTATGTTTTATAAATAAAAAAGTATTTTTCAATTGTTTGTTTTGTTTTAAATATAAATAATATTTATGCATACCCTTAAGTTAAATATCATATTAAAATAATTGAGAATTTAATAGTTTAATGTCATTATGATTGAATTTCTTCAATGCAAACAAAACATTAATACATATTGTTTCATTGGAAGATATTATACAACACATT